CAGCCAAGGACATTCTTCTCCAAATACCAGCTCTGTGAAAGTACTTTCACGTCAGAAACCAGTGTATAGAAATCCCAGTAATAGAAACAATTTAAAAAATAATAACAAATGAAGACTAGAGTTCTATTTGTTCTTACCATTGATTAATTTCCCAAAACGCACTGGAAGGCTAACTGCTGATGCAAGTGAAAATCGTTAAGTGTTGGAGACCATTTCTGTTGCCACGGCCGTGGGACTCTGCACAGAAGAGTGTTTCTGTAAGATGTGTAAATACTAACACCAGGGAGATGTACTCCATATTAAGAGAAGGAGACAGTTTAAACCTGTATGAGCGAGCAGTCATATAAGCTAAAACATTATTTAAAACAATCATGTGATGAACAGCCAGAGGGAGAAAGTCCTAAATTAAAACTAGGAAGAGCACTAACCTCTGTACTGTGACCAGTGGAAATACTTGTACTTAATGTGGCATTGAAGACAGCCTTGTAATCCTGATTAATGGGAGTATCTGCAGAAGAAAGAGCTGTATGGCAAACCATTGACAAAATCAGCACCTGTGGGAACCGTTGTGACTCGCTTTGTTGTCTTCCCAGTGAAAGGAAACGAGTACGTGGACGCGTCCAAGTCTTTACTTCAGTAATTTGATGTAACACAGGTAGAACGGGTAAAGGATCAACATATAACTTACTATTTTCTCTCACAAGACCAATTAATACTTTACTATATTAAATGAGCATGGGAATTAATCATCCTCTATCCATCTGCCTCCATCTCCCGTCAAAGTGAAAATCCGGCATAAATAACCGGGAAGCCCCTGTGAGTGAGTCAGGCTATCTAAGATCAAGACCAAATATTTAATATATGTCAGAGTTGCTGGACAAAGTACTGCCTGGTTTAATGAGAGCTTCAGCACCAACTTCTGCCACAATAACTAAACGATCCTTGAGACAGTTCACTTCAGTGTGTTATCTCGTCGGGGGTTCAGAGACCGGTGACCGCACAGCGGTACCATCCTGCGGCCAGGCGTCTCCCTCCCTGCGACTTCTCAGCTCCGTGGACATCGGCAGAGCCACCCGAACGTCTGCCACGTGCGATTCAGCGCTTTGCTGCTGCAGAAAAATCACCGTGCCTTCAATTCAGCAAGATAATTTTACCTGCTTGAGGGAAGTCAAGCTTCTGATTTTGCCCCATATGAAGTTAGGAATGTAATTGTAAATCCTTCACTAGGAGAAGGTAAGCACGCATAAGAAAAAGAGAGGAGCTTGTGAGTTTTTTTGACTTGTCTATGAAGGAAGTTAACATGAAGCAGTCAGCGTGCTTCAGTTTTACGTCCTGTGTTCTTTGTGCGGTTGGGCTGTGAGTTGGTAGCGTGTTACAGTTTTCCCGCAGTAGGACTAGCCAACCAGGAGGAGAAGCGGTTCTCCGATTTTGGACGGCAGAGCGTTAGTGTTGGAGAATGCTTTTCATTCTGGTGTTCTTTTGAGGAAATAATGCGCCTGATGTTAGAAGATGTCTGCAGATAAAATTTAAAATTATTTTTACGTTCTCCTGTAACAAATGGTAGAGTAACAGCCACTTTAATAAACTTACTGCTAAGTTTCACGGTAAGGAATATAGTAGTAACTCTGTAGGAAAAAATAGTGTGGAAAGGCTTTGGTTAGCTGCTGGTTTGTATTTTCAGCAAAAAATGTGAACGCTCCCAACTGAACCTCTCTCTCAGAATTTGAAAGCTCTGGAGACCTGAGCTGATCAAACAGTTGTTCATCATTCCCAAATCTATACCTTCATTTAATTGTAATAACAGTTAGAGATAAGCGTCTCTGCTTTCATTCTATTTTTCCTCATCCTGGATGTTTAACAACTTTTGAATTTGAAGAATTTTCAATCAAAATATTTCTGCTAACAAAAAAATCCATCTACGATGCTGTCACAGGTTTTAGTAATTATTTCCAAAAATACGTTGTCTCTCCTTTGGCAACTAGGAAACGTCGTTATCTGCTCTCCAGGAAGGAGAAAAAGTTTCTTGAAGTTAAGGCCGTTCACTTACAAACAGGGTTATCCCTGAAGATAAGAAAGTAATCTGTTCAGGTGCTCGGACTTCTATTGCCCGCAGGTAGGGAGCTGCACAGGCGCCGTTTGCTCGCTGTCAGCTGCTGAGGGGGCAGCGCTTTCTCCCTCCCGCGGACGAGCAGATGCACGTTCTCAGCTCTGACCTCGCGTTTCAGCAGCAGCGCCGCCCCAACACGCTTGTGACATGTTTTCTCCTAAAAAGGTCTTTTCTCCGTCAGTGTATATGACTCTGCATCTTACACACACGCACACGTTTTTTAACGCACTTTACAATAAACGTTTCTTAACAGTGATGTGCTGCTCACTTCACACCTAATACCTTTTAAAAAGAAAAATCATGAAATAAAGAATAAATTAAGCAGAACAATCTGAGAAAGTTGCGCAGCGGTGACTCAAGGTGGATATTAATCTATAATGTTTTTATCTATTATTTCTGAGTTCCAGGCTCTCTCCTTTTTTCCCTGTTATCCCTCCCTGTCTCTTGCTATTAAAATTAGCAGTAATAGATTTTATTATAATTCATTTGTGAAGAGTGAATCCCATGAAAAAAGGGCTGAAGGATCTTTGCAAATGGGTATGTGGCAGCTATTTGTTGTCTGCAAGGGCTATATGTTTTGGCACTGCGAGGCTGTCTGTTATAGCCTGCTTCAGAGGCAGAATAAATGCTGGGTTTTGGCTCTAACGAGGGGCATGCAGATACGCCTGGGGAATGCTGGGTGAGAGCGGAGACGAGCTTCTTGCATGCATCAGGCCTAAAGAGCGCCGTGCTATTGCGACGCTGCCTTCCACGGTAAAGCAGCTGGTGCTAATTACAAAGGTCAAATATTTCCTGTAAAAGCAAGTGTCTGATTCGGATTCCTGGCGGGTGGAAGAAGGGTCAAACTGTCATATGGTAAACTTTTGTTTTTTAATGCTACCTCTGTGCTTCTTAAAATCCAGTAGATTTTAAGTGATACTGAATTTTTGTCTTGGTGATAGTATCTCCCTCTTAAGTCTCATCTTACATGTGGCTAATAACTTCCCCTGGGTGTCAGGTGTACCTGGAAGCGAGCTCAGTGGCTCGTCCAAGATGCTGGGGGCGTTCGTTGCTGGGCCGCGAGGTTGCGTTGCCGTTCAGCTCAAAATTGAAGCGTTCTATGCTGTTTTGTTCACTTTGGTGTTTAAATGTTAAGGGAAAACGGGCATGGAAAGGGAGTACTTTGTTGTGGGCATTCTTATTTCATAGGTATTCACTGGTTTTTCATAGCTGTTAGTGCTAGGTTTACGCTAAGTCAGAAAAATATAATTTCTGTTAGCGTGAGAATGGGCATAAATCAGAGAATCATTTGAAACTATTTATTTCGGTAGGAAAAAATGCAGAAATGAAAGCATGGCACTCTTTGTGAAGTTCTCATTTGCGTGAGCTCGCTGGATGAGGGAGAATGAAATGTACTTTGCTTTGTTTTGCATCCTTCTGTGGGGAATGCTCTCTGGCTGTGCTGACATGGGCTGAGCAGCAGGCGTGATGATAAAAATAGGTGTTTAAATAAAAGAAGTGAAGTGCACCTGATCTTTTTTTCAAACATCCACTGCAATACGTGAGACTACAGCGTGATGAACTACTACATCAAGCAGTTGTGATGAAAGATGCTGCTTTAGTCCTTTCTGTATCAGAAAAGCAGCAAGAGTGAACTTCCAAGCGTGAATCTTTCTCAGGGACATAAGGTATTGCTGTGTCTTAAAATGGACGCTTTCAATTTGGAATGCATTTTTCAGATTTAAATAGGATGAATATCGTGGTAAAAAGGCTGGGAATGAGAGTATTTCCTCTTTTTCTCCAGTCTGTGAGTTTTTCAATAACCTGTGTATAACATAGTTAAATTCTGCAATCTTAAGAATGGTTGCAGCTTTACGTGCTTAAGTAGTCCTGCGTACTTTTGCAGGGTTGCTTCAAATTCTGGTGATTGCACAGCAGCATAAACTGTTTTCCTGGTAGGACTGTGCGGCAGCCTGGGGATGGGCAGTGAGCCCCCTGGCCGGCTGGGAGCTGTTTCGGAGGAGCGCTGCCTTCTTGAGAAACACTTGCGTTTCAGATATGCGCAAGCCTTCACAGAATAGCTGTCTTGGTAATTTTCTTTTTCTGAGTTTCTTGCAGCAAGGAGAGAGGTTTTTTGGTTTTCAATTGAGCAGGTTGTGCTCTGCCAGCTCGGTTACCGGCTCGGACGCTTTGCTGCTGGCGTTCGGTACAGACCTGGGCACGGGGGCCGCTGGAGCGGCCAGCGCTGCACGTGTGACGGAGCAGTTCAGCGCGTGCGCGCTCCTTCCCATTGCCGGGCAATGATCCCAGCACCGCCAAAGTCGTGAGCGTGGCGTAGTCTTTCTCTCGTATGCCTGATTATTTATTTATGCGTTCTAATCCATAATAGTGTAAACAGAGTTGAAACAATAATTATTGTGCTTTGTGGGTGGTTAAAATTAACTGTGCTCATTGCATATTTACTCAGTAAAAGATACAAGATGTTTAGTAAAATAGAAATTCATTATCTGCATAATGTTCTGTTTTTAAATGTGTATTGCATGGCCATTAATCTGTGCCAAAAGCAAGCAAGCACACAGCAATATCTGATGTAATTAGCTTTTCCCTTACATGCCAAAGGGAACATCTGGGCTAACTGCGTTTTTGACAAAAGTTGCCATTCTAATGGGGTTTGCTGTTTGTGCACGCATACGCTCATTATATGGACAAAAACACGCTCATTATATATACAAACACACTCATGCTTTCAGATCGTCCCTACGCAGACGGGTAGCTCCTGTTGGTTTGTTACTGGGGTCACGCTTGCAGTGTCTGTGGGCAGCATTAGTAAATGTCAGCAGAAATAATATGCTCTCCTTTTAAACCAAAAACCAAACCAACCTGTAACGTTGCTTTTTCTGCTTTGTTTTACCAGCCACCACTGGTCCAAGCGATTTTCAGTGGCGATCCAGAAGAGATACGGATGTTGATCTACAAAACGGAGGATGTCAACGCCTTGGTATGTGGCTTGGCGTATGGACGTGCCTGTGATACACGAGCGCCATGCTTATGAACTATTGCAATGGCGATATTAATCTTGTCTTTAGTAATTAACAAGTAACAAAATGGAAATTATTTGGAAATTAGAGATTCATGGCTTGAATGGAATCCTAATTAGTTGTCTGAATTATAATTGCCTCCAGCAGGTGACATTAAGTTCCCTAAATGTGTGATAATTATTCCAAATATACAGGTCAGTCCGGGACATTAAATTTTCTCTCTTACTGAGGATATGAATGAAAACAGCTGTAAGCTGCATATTTTGACTCTCTGTAGAGTTTACTTTTATGAAGAGTCTTTTCAGGAGCTTTTGTTCAGCGTTTGACTGTACTTAAAATAAAACTTCACTATAGGTCTCAGCAGTGAGAGTTAAGCAGCTGTATCTTGGCTGTGATTTGCCCACAGAGGAATTAATGTACTTCAAATTGGCTTACTTCTAGCCAGAACAATGGTAAGCAGCTCTAAACAAGTGGTAGTTAAGCATTTTAACAGTGAAAAAATTCTGCTTGAACTTACTCTTTTTGCAGAAGTCCCCCTCCCACCCCCCCCTCCATTTACTTGTACTTTGTTTTGTACTCTTTTTATGCTATTAGAAGTGAACCCTGCTAGTCTTTTGGCTACGTTTTGTGGCCTCTGAAAGTGATGGGAATACAAAGAAGAAACAGAATGGTGATTTTCCAGGTGATCCTGGATTTCTGGATCAACCTTCCTTTTCTTCATGCCTTTCTCTGACATAGAGCCATTAGTTTGTTCATAGGTAATTCCAGCAGCTCACCTGGTGTAGTCTTGGCACTGCAGCTTTTGCAGGCAGTGTGGTCCACACATGTGGTTCAGAGAGGCAGAAAGGAGCTGGAGAGGTGATCCTGTAGATCTGGTTACCTGGGGCTCCGCTCCATTCCTGGCCAAGTGCAAGAAAAGACTTGCTATTGGTTTAAATGGGGAATCTGATCAGAGAGGGAAGACTTTGACGTTAGGCTTATTAGATTTCCCGGTGATTCCTGGATGTTTTCTTGGCACAAGATCCTAAAAGTGCTTGCTTAAAGCATCATCTCCCTTGAATTTCCTCGATACTTGTTTTCCTTTCGATGGTCTTATTAAAAATAACTAGAACATGATGGTCCTAAAGATTCCTCTGTATTTCACGTTGGTTCTTCAAAACAGCATTTCCTGTGCAAGGTGGTTGTAGGCATCGCATTGATATCCTTTGGCTGCAAGCGTGGGTGCAGTATTAGGGGGATAGCATGTATTGTATATGCGAGTACCATAGTACTTAATAGAAAATGTCATTGGATTTGAATGTTTTTGCCCAGAATCCTGTAAAAGTTCATCCAAGAATTCTTTACCTGAACAGCTATTTTATCAGGAGCAAAAAAGCAAAACTTTTTTTTGGAGAAATTAGAAAAATGTCTGTCAACACAAATTCTGAAGGTTGTGTTTTTGAATACACAAGCAAGTGTCAAACGCTCAAAACGCCACTAGTGAAAGATCAAAAGATAGTATGTTCCCCCTGTGCTGTGAGCTGGCAATTTGCACTGCATGCTTGCGCTTCTATTTTAAGGATATTTTTAATTACTTCCATGTTAGTGTTTCTCTAGTGCTTGGCTGCTCACGTGAGAGGAAATTCTGACACTGGCAATGATTTGTCCTTTGTTGATCGTTTTGGTTAGTTTATGGTAATACCGAAATAGTTCGAATGTAAGTAGGGTAGGGAAATAAAATACAACTCTGTTGTAAGCAGAGTTGTAAGCAGCAAGCTTCTGGGGCATTTCTGAAGTTTTATAGATCGTATTTTGGAACCTGCAATGACAGAGGTGTTAGGAAGGCGGAAGAAAAAGGCACATGGAGAAACCAAGCAAAATTAGTAAAATATATACATACTGCCTAAGAGAAAATGAATCTCAGAGAAAAGAGTTTAGAGCAAATCAGAAGTTTAGAGGGTTACTTTTTTTGGTCTGGTAAAATAATTAAGATCTTCCTAAGCCCGGAAGTGTATGTTTATAAACATGACTATATTCTAGATGCTGCTATAATTGTAACTTCTATTTTGCAACGAAGTGGAAGTTCTGAGGCTTTGGCTTAGCACTGTGTGTTTTTAGTTGAGGCTGCCAAGAGAGTGGTCACTTTGACCTCTCCAGTTTGCAGCTGCGCTTAGGGGGAACTTGAGGCTACTTTTGCATCTGGAAGGCAAGGACACCGCTATATTTGGCTGGTGGTAAGTGATTCCCTGTAACTAAGTGCTGACTACTTCCATTTCCATGGTCTGCCGGCAGGCAGTGCTCAGCAGCCCAACGCCCCGGGTGCGAGGCATGTGGGGCAGGGGCAGGATCGGTGGCTCTGGCTGTCCAGCCCGCTGGGTTAGTCTCAGACGGGCTGCCTCAACCCGCACCATTCGCTGCATTTAGAAATGTCAGTGTGATTGTGGTATGTTTGGGAAGACTTTTTTTTTTTTTTGGACTGTTTTTCTTTGGCGGGAGTATGAATGGAGGACTGAGCTCTGGGTTCATCTCGTGATGCTTCTCGATCCACTGGTTACCTGGGATTTGTAGCACATGCAGCTGTTTCGCACCCTAAGTGTGTAGGGTTCCAGTTCTTATGTAAAATGTCATTATTTTCTGCTAAAGCAGAAAATCTCCTGTAAAATGTTCCTTTTCATCTCACTCTTCTAGTTTTCATTTCAAAAAACAAGAAGTCAAACAAAAAAAGCAAAAGACCCTCCAGCGTTCCTCCCCGCGGCTGATGTAACGTTTGCAAGCCAAGCCAGCCTCTTTTTTCTGCCACTTCCCTCTTCTTGCTTTTTCTCTTGAATAAACCCTAAAAAATAAAATTTCTGCAAAAATCGGATTTCCCTAAGATACCTTCTACTGCATTCATACTTTGGAGGAAGTAAATAATTCCCCTCTCCCACTGTCAGTGGTGTGGTCCAAGGCCACACCTGCTTTCCCCGGACGTAGCTGCCCGTTTTGTGGCGTTGAGATGCTGGTGCTGACCCACGTGGCCTCCTCACTCAGAGCGGTGCCAGCCCCAGTGGTGGCTCGGGCCAGGGGAAGGTGTGCGGCCCCTGGCCCTGCCTGTCTATTTTGGGCTGTGCTGTTTTCGGGAGAGGGGCTGGCGAGATAGCAGAGCCCTATGAGGAGGAGCATGTGTTTGGGGGTGGTTTATTGCTACAGGTAAAGGGCTAAGGAAGTCCAGAGGAAAGCCCTTATAGAGAGAGATGGATGTATGCTGTTTGTCACATTTTTTTCTCCTTCTCATAACTGGTAAGGCAGCTCCCTAGTTTTGCAGTGCATGTGTTTCCGGAGCATTGCTAAGAGTGCTTTTTGCGACGGCACGATTGCTCGAGGGGGCACATGTTCACACACTTCAGTCTCTGCCCCCAAAAGACTTCACCTACTTGGGGTGATGACTGTGCAAACCGGCCTGGCCTTCCATCTGGCGGGATGCGTTTGGCCTGGGATTAAGCGAGAGAGGTGTGGCGTTGCAGTGACCTTGGGAGGCAGGCCCTGGTCTCTGCTCCCTTCCAAGGAACAATGATTTTGCTCTTGGCACTGTGGAGACTTGCAGGAGAATAGAGCTACGCTGGAGGACGTGATCCGTCTCCTAGAGGTAGTCCTGCCACCTTGGAGAGCCGTCTCCACAAATGCCCTTAAGGCCTTTGGAAGGCTTCTGCTTTGACACAATATTGTGCTTCGGCACTAGCCAAAAGTTGTGTTTTCAGTACGTATTTAGCCTCTGTTAGTGGTGTTTGACTAATTTGAGCTAGTGGGGAGTCCTGGAGTGTGGGTGTTTGGTTGGGTTTTTTTGTTTGTTTTTTTTTTTTTTTTGTTTTGTTTTTTTTTGGGGGCGGGGATGTTTATGTTGGGATTTTCAGGAATTTAAGGAAATTAAATACTGAAATCGCGTTTATGTTTTTAATGTAAAATAACCAGCATGATTTTCATTTAGAAAAAATATTTTTCCTTTAGAAAATAATAGAATTTGTCTTATTTTACAAATAAACTATTTGAACTGGGATGCAGTGTCTGCTGCAGTTTGCTGGGAGTCTGAAATAGGAGTTGCTTGCCGTTGTATGCTAGTACAGGAATGGATGCTGAGTTCTGTGTCTGTGCTGGTTACTCTTATTATTGTTGTCCTCAAAATGTTTGAAACACTTGAGGATGTACAGGCTCCTGAAAGCTGTTGGCAGGGTTTGGCTGTAGTTCTTCCATTTTCTCCAGAGGGAGCAATGTTTGAATTTTCTAAATCAGGCCCTCTGCTTTCTCCATCAGCTCATGAGTGATGTGTTTCTCCCATGCCACCAAAGCCTCAAAGTCAATACTGCATTTACAAAATTTGAGTTGTTATTGGACCCTAGGTTTTGAGCTGTACGTTGCAGACTCATGGCTATAAGTGTTAAAAGATTTCCATTAATTAGGACAATAGTTGCTACAGTTTCAATCTAGGATTAATGGTTAATTTTAAGAATTACATTTATTTAGCATGAAATTCGGTGCATGAAATTATTGCAGAAGAAAAATAGTAGTCAGTTCTTTTCCTTGATATAGCAGGCTGAAAGACCACCTAGAATGAAAGAGATACCAGAGAGCTACCTGGTGCCCATAGCTTTTCCTCTAAAGAATAATTTGGGTATAGTATATCCACAAACCTGGTGAGAACCAATATATAAGGGCAAACATATTTCAGAAATAATTCTCAATATTTTAACAACTAGTTGAAGACTTTTGTGTTCTGTTTTTAGTATTCAAAAAATCAGTAATCACAGATGTGATTTGGCGGGGCAAAAAGCTTTTTCATTTGGCCCTAGAAGGAACAACGGTAGCAGACAGTGAGGTGGTGATACAGGGCTGAATCCCTTAGAAGAATGTTCTTCGGAGAAGGTCAGGTCTCTTTCTCAAACCCCATTTTATCGAATCCAGTTTGAAAGAAATTGCAAAGCACACTTCTCATAACTGCTCTAAAATAAGCACAAGCACTAACAGGTGCTGCTGATTTAGGCAAGTAACCGTATTGTTAAGGTAAGCATCTTAACTTTTCACTGAAAGTCCCCATTTTATTAAAGTGTAGTCTTTTTATTATTCTTTGACAAATGCAAAACAGATCTGGAAAATTTTAATAAAGCAACATTGCTGCACTTGTGAGTGAAGATGATATGAGAAAATTTAAGTGTAGCTGGAATACCTTGTGCAAACATAGAGTTTGACACGGGTAGAAGTCCCCATGCGTGTGGTGTGGCGTGGTCATCAAATGCTATCTCCTGCTGTGCAAGTGCTTTTCCTTTGTGCTTTCTCAGTGTTTGGCTGGTTCATCAACCTTTCCTACCAACTGTGTGTGTGCCTCAGTTTCCTCATCTGTGATCAGTGGATAATTTTACACAAATAACTAATAAAATACTTTGAACCTCATGAAAGGAAAACGTTATAAGAAGAAAATGTGGGTTTTTTTCCTGTCTCTAGATGATCAAAATATTTATCTATTCTACCTCATGGGCACTTGGCAAGTAAAGACTCAGCCCAGAAAATCTTTGTTTCTGAGGCTGAATTGAAGGCTTTAGGGGTGATGGTTGCTAGAATCAGGCTCTACGTTTTGAGACCGGAACGGCCAGGGTTGGTCAATGGCAGATGGAAAAGCACCAAGTGCAAATAACACCGCTTGGCTTTCATCTCCTGGCTCGTGCTCACGGTTAAGCATTTGGATTTGTTTTGAAAATTACATGCTTTGATAAAAGAATTTCCGAAGGGGAGGAAATCTTGAAGAGGCAGAGACGGTCTTTTAACAGCGTCGACTTTTGGCTCCAGCCGGTTGTAAACAGCCCACGAGCTACTTGGTCAGCTGCTTTTAGCCTCTCCAGCGGTCCCTGACCACTTCCTAATATTGAATTCTTCTGGAGTCAAGTTGTAGCTGACATTTCTGTCGATGGTACCAGCTCCTCTGCGCTATTTAAACACCGCGCGCTCGGATCTAGCGACGGTAAAGGGAGTGAATAAGCCGGAGCTTCTTTTCCTGTTACCGTGTTAGTTACGCTTGAATTAGTTTAAGTTGTGGTCATTCACGTGCATCTAATGCAAGTTAATTTACTCTGCCCCCCAAGCAGATCCCTGGTCATCTGGAGGGGGTGGCAGCCCCAACGCGTCTTCCTTCTGCTCCGTCTAGCGTAGCTGCGTTGGCCTGATTTCCGTGGCTCGTCCCCCGCGCCGGGCCGCTCCTCCTGCAGCGTACGGGGACTTGTTTTCTGTGGCAGCTGCACTTATGCTTTAACAGTAAATAATTCTGTCACAAACCTCTTCTACTCTGAACAGCTACGGCTGATATAAGAGTTCACATCCGTTATCTACTTGGAGATATAGGCTGCGTGGAGGAGAAACTGCTGGCCTTTGTCTTAACGTGTCCAAATATTTTTCGTGCGCTGCTGGGATCCTTTGGAGCCGCTGTTCTGCTAATCCCCGTGGGCCCTGGGGCGCCGAGCCAGTCGAGCACTTAAGGACTCGTCTAACTTGAAGCCTGTGAAGGGCCTTATCAGTGTCAGCGGGGTGGTTTGAGTACTTCAAGCAAGCGTTGAGTGCTTTCCTTGTTGAGGCCCTGTGTTTTTGATTGCCCGTTTGTTAAATGCCTGATTTCCTTTATTTGTACTTTCCGAATAGAAATATGTGTGCAGATAAGGTCAGCCTGCTGCCTCACCTTTTCTCTGGACTAATACAAGCGCCCAACACAGCTTGGGGGGGCGGGGATGTTTATCTTATCTGGGAATAACTTCTTGTAGCCATTGTTTAGCTTATCTGTTGTCTTTTACTGACCTTTTGTTCCTTTAAAAACTGCACTTGAAGCAGGTCTGGTTATTTGTCTTAATGCTATTTGTAACCTCGTTATCATTCCTTTTTTTTCCCCCCCTCCTTTCGTTTCCTTTTCTTAAAATATATGCTCAGATTTGAGGTACTGTCAGACCTTTCCGCGAGATGACAAATTCTCTTTTTATTCGTCTTTCTCCATTCGCAGCCTTCAGGCTTTAGACCATTACGGGTGACTTATTTGTTCATTTTTGCTCTTGGTGCTCTGCCACGGTGTCAGAATGGCCTCTGCGGCCAGACTTGGTGCGGCGCGGTGCGGTGCGGTGCGTGGCGTGGGCCGGGCTCGGAGGCAGGCAGCTGCAGCCGTGCTTGGCCTTGCCGAGGCCGCCAGGAGCGCCGTTCGATAGCTGGGCTGTTCTGTTGCTGGTTACGGTAAAGAGTTGGGATAAATGGAGAGATCTCAGTGTGGTTTCTCTTGGGAAGTGCAGAAGTTAAGAACTATTGCATGGCTAAACCCCCTCTTTCTGTGAGGCCTTGATTCTCATTTAATTTGATAGGATTTTTCCTTGTCCTCAGAGTGAAAGCTGCGAATACTTACTTGGCTAATACAGGCATTGATCCCTTTGTTGTTTCTTTACCATGTCTCTCTGACCCATTAGCAGCCCCTTAGGTTCAAAATGTTGCATCAAAGCGGAGCAGAAGCATAAGAGTTCCACGTTTCTGTTTCATGTCCTTTCCTCTCTGGATTATCAAGTTTCCATCAAATTTAGAATTTAGTATAAAATATTGCTTATACTCAATAAAGCACTGAATGGCCTTGATCCCCTGGTGTGGAAAACTGCTCCTTCCTGTGTTGCTAGCGTTCGGCTTCACGCCGCTCTGTTCTGTGCCAAGCTTGTCTGTCTTGCAAGACGCTGCTACAAAATTTATCACTGACAGGTACGTAGCTATTGCAAACATTACACTATTCAGGCATGCAAATGAGCATGTTAAAAATGGATAAAACCAATTCTGTTCTTGTACAAATGTTTCATCGGTCTCTCTATATTTTATGTACCGGCTAGCCTTAGGACAGGTAAGACGAAACAATTCTTGCAGAAGTTAACATAACACTGTCTCATACCGTGCGCTTACTGGGCCAGCGAAAGCTCGTCTGTGGTGGATTGTGTCGAGGCGAAGGTCAGCGAGTGAGTTACGCAGAGTCAGATTTTTTCAAGGTGAAGCTCTAGCTCTTGTTGCCAGGTACTGAAGATATAAGAAAATCCAGTTTGTTGTTTCGGTTTCTGAGTGGACGCTTCTGGACGTGGATCTCTTTTGAGAATTTAGCCCCATAAAGCACAGAGAGTTTCCGATGCTGGAAGAGAAAATGGAGACTTTCCGAATAGTGTTATAATTGAAGGCTAAGACACCCCCCCCGCCCAAGCTACGCCGAGCAGGGTGTCCTCGTACTCTATCTTTTCAGTGTTTTATTTGCATCCTTAAAGTGCAAGAGCAAAACCCACTACCAAAGAGTTTGTGGACACCGTATATCATGGGTATTTGAAAAACTCACAAATGTACCATTAAATATAACTCATTCTGGTCACCAGTGGCTCTCTGCCGCGCAGTGCTGGAAAAGATTTTTCAGTATTTGCCTTCACATGACAGATGACTCTGCAGCGCTGATTTGCCCACATTTGCAGCTTGCTTTGAAGATGGTGTGAAATAGACTGCGTTTGCGTGTTGAAAGATATCTTACTTGGTGGGCTCAGGGATGCGGTTCGGGGAGGGAGTGCAAATGTCAATAGGGCTTCTCTGTTGCTGTGGCTTGCTGGGGGAGCGAACTGGTTACCAGTTTACAGTATTTAATGCAGGTAGGTTATCTTACTCTTGTAGATTTAGCAGAGATGTAAGTCTCTTAGAACTTCCATGTATTAGTGGTTCAAAAATTGAAATGAAAAAAATTTAGGACCGGGAATGATGGTAAAATAATGCAGTTAACAGTATTGGCAATTCTTGTGATTTTGTTGCCCCTGCAAACTGTTTACAGTTTCTTTTAAAGGCCAATGTTCTGAATTCATCTGAATAAAGGAGCAAAAGGATGTTCTTGTAAAACTGCATTTATAAAGAAAATCTTGAAAATGTGACTCCCTAAGCCTGGAAAAGCCAGAAATCAAATAAAAATAACTGTATATCTGAAGTTTATTGATGATTGGCAGTATGTACGAGAGTAGAGGACCAAGACTTGACTGGTAATATTTGTTTGTGTGCGTTTAAGGGCAGGCGTAGGCTGTACGAGCCCCTTTTGGGCTGTTATTGACAACTAGGCTAAATGGTGTAGAGTAACCTTTGTAGACTAACTTGTCCTCCTGTGTGGTGCCAACCTGTTCTCCAAAAATGCCCTTCTTAGAGTGTGATGCTGTAGTGTTGATAACGAGCTGCGTTGCAAAGTCTGAGGCCCAGAAGGGTCTGAGTTATGTCGTTGTAATGCTTAGGGCAGCTAAAGCTTCCAAAAGACGTGGAAGGATGGTTTCTTTCCTCTGCACAACTGTCTTCAGCCTTTGCAGAAGGGGGACCACTGTGATGTGAGGGAGATTTGATTTGGTTTTGATTGGATTTTTATCTGCCTGTAAAAAGGTTATCTGCAAGGTCTGGTAGAGCTGCGCAATAAGAAAGTTGAGGGCTACTGAGAGAAGGAATTGTTTTTCAGACCTTGAATTTTGTTCTTTTGCTGACTGAGAATGCATTTCTAATTATAAGCAGAAATATATGTAGAAAATTAAACCCTGCATAAGAATGCATTGCTCTCTAACGCTTACAGTTACTGGCCGTGTTTTATAGCTGGATAAGCTGTTGTTTTGCAGGATGCTGAGAAACGAACTCCTCTTCACGTCGCATCATTCCTGGGGGATGCGGACATCATTGAGCTTCTCATTTTGTCAGGTAAGAGTGTGTCTCACAGGTATTCACTGGTAAATCAGCCAATTTCAAAGCTACAGGGAATACCCAGTAGAGCGTATGTGACTGGACTTTGGGCATGGCTCCATATCCGAGGTTCATAGTGCTGTCCTCAGTTTTTTACAAGCTAAGAAAATATAACTCTATCACCAAATTTAAATATAAAACATGCATTGTGACTGAGGGGAATTAATAAACAAAACAACTCTGAAAAATTTATAAAGCGTTCAAACTGATAATATTTGTGGATTCAGAAATATGCTGAAGTCCATATTTGAAATGTGGGCTCAAGTCCTGGAGTTCCAACCCAGAATTCCCATTAAGCAGAAATTATTATGGAATAGTAGCAAAATGAATGCGTTTGAATGAATTGTAAGCGTTGTTTACATTAGAAACATGATTCTAAGAGTCAGGAAATTGATTTGGAGAATAGAAACCTGCAGTATGATGTATTTAAGTGAACGAAACAGCTCGCAAATCAGTTATGGAAGAACTGTCATTTTGGCGAACTGACTGATAATAACAAATATATATTAGAAAGTCATGACCTATTTGTGGGCAGTCCATAAACAAAAGAAAAAAATTGACAGATAAATTGTTTATCTAAGCCCAATAGTACACTTACCAGAGAATATTAGTTATATGTGCTGAAGGTAGAGAGGTGGCAAGTGTATGTATATACCCATGCACAATATATTTTTTTATTTGTACATTATTTTATGATGAATTAGTCAAAACCAAAGTATATTAAATGTTATTTGTAAATGTTCACATTCTCACTTAAAAAGCATCAATGTCTTTGGATATTGGCTTAAACACTTTGTTGGGGGATTGTCACAAAAGCTCATCCTGTGTGATGTTGTCTGATGTCTTGGAATGAGGAAATCACGAGCAAAAGCAACAGTTGATATGTATATGCATGGAGTCTGGTAGCGATTAGTCCATGGGTGTTCAGAATACCTCTAATGATTTTTTTGTGATGCAAAGGCTGAAGTGCAGTCTTTCGCATTAGACTAAGAGGCAAGAACTTAAGCTAGGTATATTCATGGCCACTTAAGACCCCATATTTCACATGCCCCTATCATATATTGGCTTTAGTAGCTCCTTTTTGTTTTTTTGAGGTCAGCAAAGGGCAATATGCCTAAATTGGTTGGAAAAAATAAACAATGTTGTAATGGGAAGTAGATTTGTCAGCGTTCTTTGAGTGATAGGAATTAATTCGTTAATTTGTCTCATCTTCATACTGCTCAGCTTTTATGGCATTAAAACTGCAATGTGTAATATATCCCATATGTACTCCAGGTGGTAACATATGATCACCTATTTATCGTCATGTAGACAGCATTACAGAAAGTAATTCCTTTACCACTGATTTGTTTTGTCTAGTGGCAGGCACACTTCCACGGTTTTGAATTTCAGTTGTGCCTTTAAATCAGTCTGTGTACTTATTTTGAACTTGCCTAGTCAGGAACTTGAATTTTAAATCTTCCAAGAGCAAGCCCTCCGCAAAACGCCCAGACTTTGCTTCCCAGTGGGAGGGCAAGCTTCTCCGAACCGCCCAGTTGTGCGAGGGCTCTCTGTTTGTGCTTGTGATGAAGCATTGAATGGGACGAGCTAACAAAAGGTTGGAAGTTGTGATAGGAGAAAGAATGGGAAAGGGATAGTGAAATTTGCTCCAATGTAAAGGTACAGATTTTTTTTTTCCTGGTTTCATGCAAAAGTCCAGGTTGGTTTATTTTTTGTCTGAAAGCAGTATGACAGGTGATACTTTTTTTTTTTTTTTTTAAAACTCCCTTCCGCCTGAACAGAATATGGTAGTATGACCTCATTTCACTGTCAGTGATGCGAGTCCAGTACTGGCTGCTGCATCTTCCTTGAAATGTTAAAACTGTTTTCAGTTTCCTGTAATGAATGAGATGTTAGTTTTGTGACGGATGAATGACTTGGCCAGAGCAAAGTCTGTAACATTAAATTACACCTTAATCAAGTGTCAATGTATTAGTTGTGAGTGATATTTCATGGAATAAGCCTAACTGTAAGGATGTTTAGTCTCATTTACAGCATCTGCTCAAAGTCTTGTTTGTCAGCAGTCTCTGCTGCTGAGCTCTGTTTGCCCCTTGTGTTCTCCTCCTCCCACAGGAGCTTGTGCTCTTGGGGATGTTATCATGCCATTACTATTTCAAAAGGCTCTGAGCTGCTTGGCAAGAAGTTTACGCGCTGGGGATGCGCATGCAATATTGACATCAGTCCTTTACAAATTGCGGAACAGGTGAGGAATAGGACAAATACGAGCTCGCTTTGGAGGGATGTCCTAGTAAGCTCTGGTGTGGAGGTTTGGAAGAGAGACTGCCACATGCATGGTGGGTCCTGGGACACCCCGGCAGGCAGGCAGCAGGGGAAGGGGCTGCGTAACCTGAACTCACGTCCGGGATTCTCTCTCTTATGGCAGGGGAAAGAGGAGGAGGCTTGGAGAAGCGAGTGACTAATGAGAGAAGGAGATGTTTTATAGCCAGGAAATAGAGCTCCTCTCTCTGCCTGTCCCAAGGCTTTAAGACTGACCTCCTTGGGATTAGCACTGTGCCCTTTGGTTGAAAGACTGGAGGATATCCCAGAACCATCTCTTCTCTCTTCTATGAGTGACCCAGCACCTGTGTGCTTTTAGCTGCCTTCCTCCTCCTCCCTTCCTGTGATTGCAGTGGGATCCCCAGGCTGTTAGGATCACTAGGCCATTTCACACCCTTCCAAGTGACTCAGAATGATTTCTGAGGAAAATCCTGCCTGGTCTCCCGTTTCTTTTGTGTGATGTTCCCAGGCTCTCTGGTTCATTTGTTCCCGTCCAGCACTGCGTTGTTTTGTTCTCGTGCTAGTCCCACTTCCATCTCTCTCAACGGGGCTGTAGCCCTGTTACGTTGCCATCCTGCTAGTCTTTGCTTTATATTGTGATTGTATATTTGTTCTGGGGGAATGTCCTTTTATTTTTGTGTTTCTATTGATGCCTCCCATATTAGGAGAGGGAAAGGTGCAAGCTAATAGCATCATCAGTAGATTAAAGAGTGGAGTCTCCTTCATCTCTTGACCACCCCTAATTTCAGAGATGTAGACTTCAGAGTCCAGATTTATCTGGGATTTATGGATTTGGCAGATATGGTGGTATGGAAAAGAGTACTTTGGTTAGGATAAGGACATGTTAACTTTGTTCCTGAAAGCTAACAGCAGTTTGTTTATTTCAGATCTCAAAAGAACAGAGGCAAATTCTTCCTCTTTTGGCAGAAAAATATGAGAGTGAAATAGCACAAAGATTTGAAATGATCTTATTAAAGAAGGGTGGATTACAGCAAGTTTGCCCTCTGCTGATTTTATCTTTGATTATATGCCTTATATTGTGTAACTTCACAGAACAGATCTAGCAGCCAAACCATTCCTTCAGACCCACCTGTGCAGCTCCCCCAAAGGCCGAGTGCTTGTGATGTGTCTGAGAAAAGGTTCTTGTCTGAGGATGTTTATTTTGAAGTGGCTGTTTTGTGGGCGGTGATGTGGCTACCTGGAAAGATATTAAGAAATGCCTTCAAGGAAAAGAGCACCTTATCTTTTCCAGAAAGACTGGGACTACAGAGAACACCATATACACCTATTTGAGTGTGTTGATCACCTCTAGCCCTCTGGTACAGATAAACACACAAATTAGACTGTTTAGCTTAATGTCGCAGAGTACTGCAGGAAGTGCACCGAAACATGGTTACGGTACTTGGTCAAGAGTTAAGAGAAGGGCACTGAATGGGTGCCTCTCCTTTCTTTCCTTTAAAATGGCAGATATTTTATTCCCCCTAAGGAGCGTGGTGGTGCTGGTGTAGTTCTTTGATTGTCACTAACCGTTGCCTGCAAGGAACGGCTGGATAGCTGAATTCGGGTGAAGCAAATGGACCATATGGACAGAAACATTTCTGAAGCATCTCTTTAGAAAATATGTGCCTTGGTAAATGGACAACAGTAGCTTCTGCCTGTGGATGAACAGACAACAGCTGAATTGTGCAGCTCTTTAGAAACATAAATCACAAATATATATTATATTCAGCTGATACACCGAATGAGATATGCAAGAGCAATTTCACTTTGTCACATAAAAAGTACAGTAAAAAAAAAAAGAGAGGAAAAGAAATGTGGAAAACAGCTGAGGAAGACAAGGTTGATAACATGCTGTGTATTATTTTATTGTTGCTGGTATTGTTTTGCTTTAATTATTTTCTTTAGCTGTTTTCTTGGCAGCTCTTTCAGCTTCTTGAAGGCTGAGTGAATCAATGAAAGGCTTGAAGAGATTCTTTCCTAGGTTTTCTCATCGTCTTATTCGACCACTGTGGTGACTGAATACTAAGGAATGATACGATGTTTGTCACACGCTGCTACTTCAACGCATAAGCCTTTCTGATTTGCTACCATCTGCTTGGGGGAGTTTTCAAATGGGTAGAAATAAACTGGAAGAAACCTTAGTTAAGAAAGTAAAAACAAAAAACCCAAAGAGAATACAGAATAAATCTCTAAACCGAAAAAGAGGTATTTGGTGTCAATCATTAGCATTTTATCTGGGCAGTTTGCATTTGAACATCCCTCTACAGCCAAATCAGTATAACGTAAGGTACGTGCGAGTGGTGGTCTGTAAGCTTCCTCTTGGCAGCGTTATCGTACTTTGCGGCCCTAGGACGCGAAGGGCAGTGTGAGTGAGGGATTGTGTACTAAATCAGACAAGCATAATGACTTTCTCATAGAGGAGAATACAGGTGACACCTTTCCTAGTTTATATAGATGCCTTAACAAACACTTTGATGGTCACACAGCTTTACTAAGTGCATATCCTAGAGTACTGAACGTCCCACTATGTACAGCGTTGTCTCTAAATGCTACAGTCCAGGAACATGGCTTTCTGTTTCTGGGAGCCAAAAATTTCTGTGCCAACTCTTGGAAATCTGAAAGAACTGGATTTGACTCTCATTATCTAGCAGAATTCCTAGTAGTGACTGCGATTCACAGGCCAACACCTTGATGCTATTGAGAAATAGCTTTTGGGAAAGTACTTTTGATTCAGGGAGTGTGATTTATTAATTACAGGATTTTATGTGCACTTAAGCTATGGTGAAAAATGAAGCTTAAGAATGCCTTTGTTCATGAACTTCGGAGGCTCATCCAGGATAAGTGTGCAATGCTTGTGCTTTTCTAAATTTTTTTCTAAATGTGCTAGTCTTTTCAAACTAGTGTTGCTGCTTTTGCAGACCGGAGAGGTATAGCATTCTTAGGTTATGTCTCTTTCAAAATTATTTTCTCCAGCCCCTTTCATTAGGTGTCCTTTTTTGGGTTATCACTTCAGTGGATAGCTTGAATATTTCTTTGAAATAAATCTGTCTTGCCACACAAATGTACAAGCTCCTTTTCTTGTCTGCAGTCAGCCAGCACTTCTGTAGTTGCTGAATGCTCTTCTGGCACCCTTGATTTCAGCAAGTGACTGACCCCCAAAACCATCCTGTTGCTTCTCTAGGAGCGTGCATTAGCACCTAACTGTGTGCAAGGCAAAAGGATCCATAGATGCATCTTGTAAGTTCCCCTCAAGCTGCAGTCTCCCCATTAGGTTTTCTTGGCCACAGCGAGATTGCTAAGCTGGGAAGCAGAGTTTGTCACAGAGGTTGTATCTTCCAGCGCACTGGCCAATAGAGCTGGAAGCGCGAGCTGGTCGTTCAGGCTCGCTCGCTCGCTGCTCGGGGTCTGCAGGCAGCAGCAGTGTTCCACTCGGGGCTGCTCTTCTTTCAACTGTATCAGTTGATCTAAAGAAAATTGCACAGACACACACACAGACAGCAGATACATGCTCTTCTACAGATCTTGCTTCCATTGTGTCCCGTGAACTATTCCTGCTACTATCCAAATCTATCCAGTTCTTTTCTTCCTGTATCCTACTTCCTGTCCTATTTGCTTGGGATACGGCAGTGCAATTCCAAGGTTAAGGGAGTGCCAGGAGAGTTGTGGGGAGTGGTGCGAGTACTAAACATGGCTCGGCTCTTGGTACTGGGAAACCAGTTGGGCAACGCTTTTGTTAACGCTGCAGCCAAGGCATGGATGTAACGTGTGCTGTTTGCTTGCAGGCGCTCGCGTCAATGCCAAGGACAACATGTGGCTGACTCCTCTCCATCGAGCAGTTGCTTCAAGGAGTGAAGTGAGTAAGATTCGATTACCCTGCTGTTGCACGTGAACGACGTGCTGGGGAAAAACCCAAACCGTGTAAAGCCGTAGGAGATTGCATGGTGACACAAAGAGGGGAAGAGTTTTGTGGGAGCGGGGACCTTTGGCATTTCGGCAAGTCGAGAAGGGCCGGCTTTTACAAGTCAGGCGCAGCGCTTGACTGCAGCGTGTGCGTTCACCACTTAACGTGGCTGACTTCTGCCTGTGGAACGCTTTTTGGCTGTGCGGCAAGTCGCGCTGAGCAGCCGTCGAGAGCGAGTGACCTCGACTGAAGTGGAACGGTCTGTAATGGGCTGGCCACATCATCCTCAAGTGGTAAAACAGGGAGGAGTAAATGCAAAGGGATGTGGCGTGCCAGGAGGTAGCGGATGTGTGTGTGATGCAGCACATATGCTACATAGTTTGTTTTGGTTAATTGCATTTCACTAGGTTTCCTATTAATTCTTTTGATTCATGCATAAATAGGGTTAGCCTGTATTTTTTCTACCTGACAGCTAGAAATCTCCTTGCATCATGTTGTGGTTTCTCCACGGCTGTATCATGGAGGAGCAGCTATCAGGAACGTAGCTCAGGCATGACTGAAATCACTGCACCGTTATTTATTGGCTTTACGTTTTGGACCTCCTTATATTTTTTTTTACCTTCCTAACATGCAGTTGACTCAGTGAACCTAACTGCAGACCGAGCTGGCCGCTGGGGGTGGGTGGACGCATAAGAGACAGAGGGTGGCCGTCGTCCAGGCTGATGGCGTCACCTCCGCAGCAGCGCTGGTGTGGAGCTGGGAGGCAGGAGCCCTGGGCGCGTTTTCTGAGCCCGGGCATTGTTTTCCTGCTGGCTGGGCTTCCCAGCTGCTGGCATCCACCAAAGCCCTCAGAAAGGGACAGCTGAGAGAATATGAATGCTGCTGTGAAATAAAATACAAAAAGCCATGTTAGAAAATGAAGGTCAGGCCTAAACCTTTTTAAAAAAAAAAAAAAAAAAGCTGCAATCCTGACACAGGAATTGTAACATATTTGGATTCTTTTTTGTATGTGTCGAAGTACGTGATTTTTATTTTCAGTGACGGCCCTAACTGAAAGTGCATGTCTTTTTGTGGGTTTGTGTCCGATCTTTTAACTCTTGTGCTGCTGAAACCCAGTTTCACAATGAGAAACTGTCTCCCATTGTGCTGGCAGTGCTGGTACCTCAAAGTAAGCGACATAACAGGTACGGTATTGAAGCAGCAAGGAAAGAGAGCAGTCTTTGATGCTATTTCATGGTGTATATTTTATAAATATATATAGCTTCCTTCTCCTGTTCATTTTTCTTACTTATTTGATAATTGCTAGTTTGCTAATCATTTTGAAGAAGATTGAGCATTTTGAGTTTCTGGTTTTCAGTGCTACTTTTCTTCTATTGTATAGGCTGTCTAACAAATTTACAGCTTCAGTATAATAGGACCAAACTGGTAGTAGATCAATTCATGGTCCGGAAGGACTCATTGTATTTTTTTTGAAGTTCCTTTGGGCTTAGTTGCTTTTAGAATGATCACCTACAAATTTTATTACCAATCTTTTATTATGAAGCTTTCACAGGATTCATTCATGTCTCTGTACGACCTTCTATAGACTGATTAAAAACATGAGCACGTTTTAACTTACATTTTAATGACTTTTCTAGTGGACTTCAAGGATTTAAATGGTTATTTAAAAACCAGCAACCCTCAGATGTGTCTGTGCAGGATTGTTGATGGACGTATCTGCTGCCAGCTCTGTACAGTTTGAAAGAGTGAAGAGATTTCACTCGGATAACTTGGGATAACTAGAAACACTGAACCTATGAATAGAGAGTCCCACACAGTACCAGTGGACTGCATGCAGATGTTGAAATTATGTTAATAAAAGGGTCTATCTTATGTCCTCCAAAGCCATAAAATTAAAACTTCTTCCTAAAGGCAATAACATTTCAGTCCCAAGCCTGGTAGAGCAACAGGTTTGCAGATGTAAACCAAAATGTGTAAATGCTTTTAAAAAATATTTAAAAATTATCAGCTTAGACTTTTCAATTCTTACTATTTGCTCTTAAAAATAGTCCTTATAACTTTTTCCTTTCTTCCCTAAGAGTCAAAATACATGAATTTTCCTCCTGACTTCATGTAGGATTATGGTTCTGATTGGGCAGGTCCCCAGGGAATTATCTTTAAATGACTTTTAAAATAGTAGGCCTGTGATTTAACAAAAAAAAATCCTGTCGAAACATCGACAATGATATATCGTTATAGGTACTTTTAAGACAAGCAGTCTCGCTAACGGAACAAATCTGTTAGCCATCCCACAGACTGTTGTCTACAGAAAATGACACTGCTGAAATGGGTTGAGGACAAAGAACTAGAACCCTTAGTAATGGATGTATCCTTGATGTGATGGAGCCTGCAGGCGCTCTCCCAGGCCTTTCCAGATACAAAAGTGCTATTTATACACACATGAAGCTTTTGTTATTCATTGATAAAACTTTGGTTGGACTTACTAGAAAACTTTTCAGATTATGGAAAAAGAATAAGGTGTAGTATGTAGGACTAGAGCTCTCTCCCACTTACCAGCTGAGAGATGGAATTAGCTACAGAAGAGGCTACTTGCATGCCACTGTGCCCCAGTAGTTCCTTTGTTCTGTGCGTTTGTGAAGAAAGCAAAATCCGGTTTTGTGAGAGACTTTTTATCTGACTTGCTTAATGGCATATGCATGAGTAGGAACAGAGAAGTGCTGACTGTAAATTCTCTAGCGAGGCAGTCTCAAGAGAGAGCAGGATGTTTTCTCACTGGGAAATATCCAGTTCTAAACAAGAAAATTAATCTTAAAAGATGTCATCTGGTCTCACGCTGACAGAATGGATGTTGCAGGGGAGACCCTTGGCCTGCGCTCAGCCCTGGGGAGGGAAGGAACGCCCACGGGAACAAGGGACACCAGCGGCAACCCTTGCCTGTGATTCTCATGTTTTTGCAAGCCTAAATTTTTGTGCTCACATATTTTGTTTTGTTTTTTTCCTTTCTCCTGTTTATAAATAAAACTTATAGCAATTCACTGTGCCTTCCCTATCCGAACTAACATGCTGTTCATTTTGTAAATAATTTTTATAACAGTGAGCTTGAATAAATACATTAATTTCTTCAAGAAAAGCATAGTTATAATGACTGTGGTACTGAAGTTTAACCAGCAGAACAGGTTGGGCTCTCTCTGCGTGGGTGGCTTTGCATATCCTAAAATCAACTTAGGAAGTTTTGTTTGTGAGGACACTGCTCTAAATGACAGCAAAGGCGATGTGTCTTCAGGCATTTGAGTCACCAATGCCATTTCACTAACCTGGGAGGTTGTTTAGATAAATGACCTCCTCCTTCCTTTCTCCTGGCTGTGTCTGATACAGAGGTAGTAATAATGCTGTCAAGAAGGTGGGCCCTGTATTTACTCTCAGTGCTTGTTTATAGGTATAACTCTGTTGCCATTGCAGGAAGCAGTGCAAGTATTGATTAAGCATTCAGCGGATGTCAACGCCCGGGACAAGAACTGGCAGACACCGCTACACGTGGCGGCTGCAAACAAGGCAGTGAAGTGTGCAGAAGTAATCATTCCTATGCTGAGCAGCGTCAATGTCTCCGACCGAGGCGGGCGGACAGCCTTGCACCATGCAGCTCTGAATGGCCACATCGAGGTAAGCTATTTTATAGCACAAATTTTTTTGTTTGTTTGTTTTTTCCCTGCCCTGTTCAAACAGCCAGCCTGCTGTGACTGGGAATAGACTGAGCCCCATGTCGCCGATAGGAGCATTCGTATTGCTCGGCACCTTTCCAAGCTGTGCGCCTGGGTTCCCTGCCTGGGGGAATGAGTGTGTGGCTGGCACGCACCGGCACAGCACCGGCACGCCAGCGAGGTGTGCGTGGGAGCTCAGACAGCTGCCTGCACCACCAGCCCCCGTTCAAGGGTGTCCTTGGCTACTTTGATCTTACCTGCCTGTGAAAATAAAGAGGCAGAATGGATAGGGACAACTGAAAGATGAATTTCATACTGAAGAGATGTACAACTGTGTGAGACCCAGTCGGTCTGCTTTTCTAATTAATTTTCTTGAAAATGTGCTTCTGGTTTTAAGATTGTACATGCTGCTTCTGGTTACCTAATGGAAGCGAAACCTTCTAGTCTGATTACTGTTTCTGTATAAAAACCACAATTCTGTGAATAAAGCCTCTACATAAAAGCTTCTGTTACTGTCATTAGATGTGGGTGAAAGGATCCCTGTTTGCCCATTCTTGAAGGTCTAGGCATGGAATAAAAAAATGGACCTGCACAGTAGGATTCTGTCAACAAAGAGGTGTCAGAAAAAAGAGACTGGTTGTACTGTAATCAGGAGGAGGAAGAAGAAAGGTAGTTGCTGTAAAAGGATGATGGTGTTTGGCCTTTAAAATACTATGTTTTAGGGAAAAGATGGTAATACTTGAATCTAACCATTGTAAATTAAAGCTCCTGAGCTTTTGGATAGAGTGTATCAGAAATGACTGTATGCTGTTATTAGCTGATCCTTTTCTGTGGCAAAGCAGTGTATTAGAGGAAGGCAATTATGCAGCTCTAACTTATGATTTTAGAATGTTTTGCAGGAAAAGAAAGTTGTTGAATGTGTTTTTCCATTCTTTTCCTTTCCCCACCATATTTGATATTGGATAGCTGGCAAAAGGGAAAGCAGCTTTCCATCTTTTAACCATGCTGTCTAAAATTCCAGTTCAAAATTCCATATATGAAGCAGCCTGGTTTCTGTCCTCATGCTCATGGACAAATGGGAACTGAGTGGCCTGGCCACCCGTCAGCAGAGTGTGGCAGGAAGTAGGCACTCCTTGTCGAAAGATCAAGCAGAGTTGAGGGTTTGTTACCTCCAGGTCTGGAGGAATCTTGTGCCAGTCTACAAGAAAACATCTTAAATGTGGTTTTAACTATAAAAGCTAGGAGCAGTGTTTCTCTTCTAGGCCTGTTTTACCTCTAGGTTGTTATTAGCCAAGCTGAATTTGTAGTACACTGGAGTCGCAGCTGATGGGAGCAGCACCCTGCACGCTGTCAACCTGCTCTGCAGGTGCCGAACTTCTCCTGGTTTCTTGCAACCATCGCTATTCCTTCTCACTAATGCACACAGTTTAGAACAGTAATTTTATAATTTGCAAATGTATCATTCATAAGTAAGATATTGTAATCCCAACTTTATTGCTAGAATGCTGCTAGAATGATTTGTAATAAACTGTTGAGCGTCTGACCTTCAGGGTTTATTTACTTGATGTTGTTTCTTTTAGATGGTAAACTTACTCTTAGCCAAAGGGGCAAACATCAATGCTTTTGACAAAAAGGACAGAAGAGCTCTTCACTGGGCAGCGTACATGGGTAAGCCTCGGGTGGTTCCTTGTTTTTAGTTTGCTGTTGACGAGCTGACCACGTGTTTTACAATGGGTAAGATGCAGACCTTGCCCTGGAAAGGGAACGTGGTGTTTATCCTGAACAGGGTAAGGCATCAGCTGGTCTAAGCAGATGGTGTCCATTTACGGTTTTGCAACTGGTGAGAACTTGGCTGTGTTATCCTTTTAATGCAACTTGTGGGCTTTTTATGTTGATTTCTTTCCTTGTGAACTTTTTGTCCTGACTCTAATGCCAGCCTGAAGTATATTTGGACTTGAGAAAATATAGGTTATTTTTGAATTAGTTCTCGCTAAGAACTACATTATGTAAGATGCAGATAAATGTGACCATGGTTTTTACTCTTTACCTTTGTTTAAAGTAGCTAAGCTATGATATTGTTAGAAAGTGCCTCGTGGCCTTTCCTTCTGTCAGGTGCAAGCTGTCATCTTTTATTCCAGATTGGGCAAGAGCAACAGATTCAGCCTATCAGTGGTGTTATCAAATACTGCTTAAAAAAATCAATTGACCTTATTGTTTCATTCAGTTTAAAGACCAAATTTGTTGTAGTGGAGCATTATAATTTAAAAATGCTAGAATGAGACTGCTGGTGAAATTGGTCAGATGGAAAGACTCTTGCAACAGTTGTGATTTGGCTTTTGCGCTAATGTGCTTTGAACTCTGCTCAGGAGAGGTGAGAGGCTTTTACATTGTGCTGTGCAATTCCACATCTCTTTTGCTCTTAACTCTTTTCACAAACTCATGTTGTACTTTTCAGGATATTTAGCTAAGGTTTAAGGCCTAAACTCACAAAGCGATTTAGGAGTCTGTAGTGGAATGTGGACAGAATTTAGATAATGCAGTTGAAGCATATCATCCTGTAAGCCCTCATTTAGTTTCTGGGATACTTTAAAATCTTTGGGCACTTGGGACTTTGTCAATCAAGTGTCCTGGGTCCTGTACGTGACCAGAACTGCCTCTGCTGGGAAGGTGCTGGAAAAGTTCAAATGGTACCCAACTTCATATAGTATTTGTGCTCTTTCAGTCTGCTTGACCTAATAAATTTTTAATTGTTCTAAGAAAAATAACTCTTCTAGGCTCTCTGGGAAGGTATGATACCTTCAGGGGGAAGAGGAAACTAAGGAGATAGGTTGTAAGTTGCATTTTGAGATGCTCAGCTCTACACTCCCCCCTTATATAGGGAGATCCTAATTCATGGGTAGGCGTTTTATCCCTGAAGACTGATGTTCTGTAAGTCGGGCAATCAACTCTGACTGCTGAAATTACTGTGATTGTTTTACTCTGCAGATTAAATATATGTTTATATATACACACAACAAGTTCATATTAAAACATTTTTAGACCCTATTTTCATCATTTTTGCAGAATTTAGTGTTAATAACACGGTTTTGGAGAGTCACACATCTGATCCAAAAATCTGTGGGTTCAGTAGAAAATCGATTGTTGATTTTGGTAGGCTTTGGATCAAATTCTTCATTCACTTGAAGTTCATTTTTTCTCTGTCCTCAATGCTGGTGGAAAACCTTTAATTTGTCATTTATTAAATATATTATGTATTGTCAAGAAAAAACTGAGTGTTAGCGGTTGGGTCTGCAGATGACATCAACAGAGTACTGTTTTGGGAGATTTATGTTGTCATGTTCCTGTGCTCACTGTTCTTTCTGCGAAAGGGAGAATAAAATACGAACTTCAGAGAAGTAACATGGGAAAGAGGTGTAGTTTTATTTCCTTTTATTGACTGGAAATCTAATACAGTACGGGCAGATTTGACAGATGTGGTGAAGATAAATATATATTGCATGGATTTCTTGACAAGGCCTGGAGCTTGGATTAAAAACGTTTATGAGAATGCTCTTTTTCTTGCAGACTCAGAGCATTGTGAAACAGCAGCAAAAAGGGCAGAGCATTAGCACGAAAGCAGTAATTTTGGGGAAGTGATGCAGTGGAATGGTACACTCATCGATTACTATCTCTCATCTTTTGAAGGTCACCTGGAAGTTGTTGCCTTACTGATTAACCATGGCGCAGAGGTGACTTGTAAGGACAAGAAGGGTTACACTCCACTTCATGCAGCTGCATCCAATGGGCAGATTAATGTAGTAAAACATCTCCTTAATCTGGGTGTAGAGGTATGTGGTAGTTTGCTGTTCCTGTGGCTTCCATGTTTCTCCATACTTGAAGATATTCCTCTTTTCTTTCCTTATGGATGCAGCTACAGACATTGGCAGAGTTCATAAAATAGTTCCCATTTTCTGGACTATGAAAAGCATCTCATGCTTCATGTAGTTTATTGGTGCAAGTGCCAGGAGACATTCTGGAATAAGTGTCTGATATGGACAGTAAATTCCAGGCAATCTTGCTGAAATGAAGAAGTCGGGGTATATGTGCTGTTTCTATAAAGGAAGATGGGATGATGAAAACTCCCTCTCCTCAGTATTCCCTTTGATACCATGAGAGGTTGTTCACAGTACGTACGCTAAGTACTTCACTAAACTGCAGTTCAGGCAGTTTAAGTTTAGGAACCTGTATTTCCTCTATAATAGAAGGAGGGAAGGAGAAAGATTATTTTCACCATGGAAAAGATCTTTTTTTCAGGGCACAGGCTTCTCTTAGTCTAATATTGTCAACCCAACGGTCCAAAGCAGTGAGATGACCGGAAGAGTCTGCAGCGGTTCATCAGAGATGTCAAACAAAGGCATTGCATTTGCAGTGATACTTCACATATTCTGCCAGCTTTGTAACCAGCAGACTTGACCTGCCAAGAGAAAGTAAAAAGTCTATATTCACAGGCTGTTGACTACAAAGTAGAAGATGAATAGGTGTTTCCTTTCATTAGCTGTACCATGGTAATAATTACTTTTAACTTCCACATGCTCCCCTACTGGGGATATGATCTTTTATATGCCTAGATTTTGTGGAAGAGTATTCAAATCATCGTTGAGTCTTTTTGTGCAACCTGTCTCACCTTATTTTACAGAATAGTAGATGAATTCTAAGCCATCAAGAAGTACCGTCTTCTTAATTGTATCTTCATGATACAGAGCTACTGAAAGTGGTTTCTTGTTGAAGTGTAAATGGCTGTGTAATTTCTCCTTCCCGTCCCTCAGAGACTTTCACTCTCTTCCCAAAAGAAATCTGTGTAAAGAGGTCTTAAGCCTGATTCTGTTCACAAAAATGCAATAGAAGTAATTGTAAAAGATTCTGAGATTATTATTATTTCACCTGGGGAGGAATAACCTCATGCACCAGGACAGGCTGGGGGCTGACCTGCTGGAAGGCAGTTCTGCGGAGAATGACCTGGGAATCCTGGTGGACAACAAGTTAAACATGAGCCAGCAGTGTGCCCTTGTGGCCAAGAAGGCCAATGGGATCCTGGGGTGCATTAGGCAGAGTGTTGCCAGCAGGTCGAGGGAGGTGATCCTGCCCCTCTCCTCAGCCCTGGTGAGGCCTCCCCTGGAGTACTGTGTCCAGTTCTGGGCTCCCCAGTACAAGAGAGAGAGTCCAGCGGAGGGCTACAAAGACGATGAGGGGACTGGGGCACCTCTCCTCTGAGGAAAGGCTGAGGGAGCTGGGCCTGTTGAGCCTGGAGAAGAGAAGGCTGAGGGGGGATCTCATCAACGTGTACAAGTTTCTAAAGGGAGGATGTCAAGAGGACAGGGCCAGACCCTTTGCTGTGGTGCCCAGTAACAGATGAGAGGCAACAGATACAAACTGAACCACAGGCAGTTCCATCTGAACCTGAGGAAAAACTTCTTTCCTGGGAGGGTGACCGAGCCCTGGACCAGGTTGCCCAGAGAGGTTGTGGAGTCTCCTTCCCTGGACATACTCAAAACCCACCTGGACGCAATCCTGGGCAATGTGCTTTAGGTGACAGGGTGGGCAGGGGGTTGGATTAGATGATCTCCAGAGGTCCCTTCCAACCTCAACCATTTTGTGATTATTTATCCTACTTTCCACCTTAAATGTAAAAGCTTTCCAGCTTATTAGGACTTTCATTTTCATCATTAGATAGTCCTGCTATCAATTTTAAGCTTCAAATTGACTTTTGAGAATTGCCGCTGGGGTAAAAAGTTAATAATAGTAATTGTAAAGTATTCCGAATTAAGCGCTCTGGGAGTATATTTTTGTCAATGAAATTTGCTGCTGAACAGTATGCGCTCTGACAGTTTAAGCCTCCAGCTATTTCTCTTTGCAGTATGTGATGCGTTATGTAAAGCAATAAGCTGATGTCTGTATTTTTAACTGTGTCTTCTTGTCTCATTTTAGATTGATGAAATGAACATCTATGGAAATACTGCACTTCACATTGCCTGTTACAACGGTCAGGATTCTGTTGTTAATGAGCTGATTGACTATGGTGCTAATGTAAATCAGCCTAATAATAATGGATTCACTCCCTTGCATTTTGCTGCTGCCTCCACTCATGGAGCGCTGTGTCTTGAACTGCTAGTGAATAATGGGGCAGATGTAAACATTCAGGTAAAACTTACATTTCAGCTCTTCAGTTTTATTTGATCCTGTTTTGCATATGTCAAGAGTCTGGAAACTGTAGTAATGAAGTCCAGCATGGCTTCAAGCCCTTCTTTGGGGAACTGATTGAAGAGTGATGCTGAGAAAGTTGATTGTTAAACTGTTTGGGTGAGATTAATTTACAACAGAGAAGTTGTCAGTGCCTTGATAGGTATAACAGCCTTAAAGTCTAGGCCAGCCACTTTCCTGAAGGCATGACCACTGTTAAAATATGGTCTGGAAGCTCTGTCAAAATCATACCTTGGGGAGCTGTGGTAAGTCAAGGAACTTTTCCTTTTTGGTGTTTTCCTTCCCCCTGCAATATACTTTTAATTAAAACTTGATTCTAACAAGTTCCTCTTGACTTTCCTGAGGAAGTAAGAACTCAGTTTTTTTAAATTTACTTATTCTAGTCTTTGCCTGACTTGATGAAGCTTGATGCTGTTAAGGATATCTGAATGCTCTTGAGATACGATTGATACATATTGATGAAGCTGGAAGGGAGTTGATTTTATCCAGCAGAGCGGGTACTGGCATAGGTATCAGGAGACCTAGGATCTCTGAGTTTATATAGGATCTTGGCTCCTCTACTGTAAACTCTGCGTGTTTGAGTTTCCCATCCATAAAGCTGGTCTCCTAGCATTTAACATCTATGGTAGGACCCTTGAGATCAGTGAATAGCTAGTACTCTATTTAAACTCAGAATTATTAAAATGAGCTGGGGAATCGTGCTTGCCAATGAATGTGAAGCTCCATTCCAATAAACATGAGGTGACTTATATTTTTATATTTTAAATTTTATATATTTATATATATTAATATTGATATATATGTTAATATTTATATATTTAAATTTTGTATGTTTATATTTTTATCTTTTATAATATATTTTTATATTTTGTTTCTGTTAGAGTAAGGACGGGAAGAGTCCACTGCACATGACAGCTGTCCACGGGAGGTTCACGCGGTCGCAGACCCTCATTCAGAACGGTGAGTCTTGCTGCTGAGTCGATGATGGTCCGAAAGATCGGTCATTGACAAAACTAGAATTTGTAGTTATTCTGACCCAGAGCGCTGAAGTGGTACTCTGTTTAGCTCTCTGTCACGTTCTGCCTTTGAGCTGCACTGGCAGCTCTCATTCCACAATGTTGTCACAAGTGAAGTTTTTGGTTGCTAACAAAATCCTGTGTTCCTCCAGCTGACGGTGGTCCACGTAATCTTCTGTGATTCTTAACCTCACAACAACACTTAAAAGCTGTGTTCAGGTCTTTTATCAGCTTAGAAGAAGGCACAGCTTTCTCACATAATTAAAAAATGAAAAGAAGAGCTTCTGATTGTCCTCTCTTGTGAGTCTTGGTGCTCTCAGAGCTCAACCATTTTGTCTACCCCTCCACGCAGCGGCTGTGCTTCTCTTGCCTCCCAAAGCTTCACAACCTTCCCATAGCAAACCCTCTTCACTAAGTGTTGAATAAATACTCTGGAGGGTGAACCAGTGCCACCTTGTTTGTTCTGGGGTAGGAGACCTCAGAAAAGTAAGGAAATAAAAAAAAAAATAAATAGAAAAACAGGAAAAAAAAACCCTAGAGTAGCCAGGAATAGAATCTCGGATTCCTAATTATCAGTCATATTAGTTAAATATTTATTTTGTCAAGAATACTACAGAATACAATAAATGTTAGAGCTGGAGATCTGGCAGAGACTTTGTAGGTCACTATTTCTGTTTGTTTAACTACAAACCCAAACTTGGACCTTAACTTAATTGCAGTGTTGCTTGAGACAGCTACTCTGTGTGAGATGTTGAAGAGGGCTGAACAGATGCGCTATAATGATGAAGATAGTGTTTTAAATGGCAATCTCCAGTAGATCATGCTTCCTTCAGGTTATCATGCAAATTGCTGTCATATCACTCCTTGAATAAATAAAATATTAATAATAAAAGGAGCAAGCTAAAAGAAATATGTGCTTTAATGCAGTTTTGAGTTGTTTGCTCAGATGTGCTCTCTGACTTATGGCTGTTGTTTGCTCTGCGTGATCTGTGTTTGAAAGGGTTGGCAGTTCTTCCTCTGTTCCTTCAACCTTCTCTGCTTTTCCTCAAGTTACTTGTGATTCTTTCTTTCTTCGTTTCCTGCCCCTATAATTTTAATGTTGTGCACAGATTTAATTGCAAATGATTTTATGCCTCATTGCCATGGGATATTGTGGAGGAGAAAAGAGTGAATGGTTTATAGAAATGAAGTTTCACCCTACACTACTTAATGAGTTGGCTAATGATGTCTCCAGATTTTTGGCTATTATCTCTGAGGACTAGTGGAGGAAGAACAGGGTACCTTAAAACTGGAAAACTGCAAATGTGGTGTCCATCTTTAAAAGATGGGAAAAGGAATAGCTGGAGAACGAGAAATGCACCAGCCAAAAATTCTGAAACGTGGGAACGAACAAACTGTAAACACACAGAAGATAGGGGGCCAGTCTGGCATGGATTTCTCAAGAATGAAACATACTGACATGTTTCAGTTTTCTTCTCCATCGGAGTAATGGTCTTTGTGAATAGAGCGCAATCCTCTGGCTTTTCTGTGGGCAGGTCATGTTCATGGAGTCTTCCATGGCTGGAGACTCCACAGCACCCCATGCAGTCTGTCCCAGCATTTCACTGAACTTTATTTACCATTAGAAAACCTTGTGTAGACCTTTTACATGTTCTCGTCAGGTATTCTCACTGCAAAGTAGTGGAGTATGGTCTGGATGAAAATATTGTAGTGTGAGTGCCTAACTGGTTGAAAAACTACGCTCAGAGGTTAGTGATGAATGGAGTGTTGTTGGAATGGAAGATGTAGCCAGGGGGTTTTCAGGTTCTTTCCTGCATCTGGTCCTGTCCAGTATTTTCATCAGTAACTTGGATGGTGGAATAGGTAGTATGCTTTTAACATTTGGAGAAAACATGAACTTGAGAGCCACTGTTAGCTGGGCAGAAATTGGTGTCAGAACTGAAAATGATTCTGTTAAGGCTGGAGAAGTAAGTTAGAGTGCAAGCAAACGAAAGGAAAGGTACACACACACAAACGTACACACACACACACACAAACACACACACACACACACGGGAATTACCGGCTGCACAGACACAGAAGGGCAACAGCCGGGTGGGTGGCAGTGCCTCAGTAGGATCTGGGGTTTACAGTGGATCACAAGCTGAACATGAGTCAACAACGTCATACTGTTTAAAAAAGAAAAAGAAAAGAGGGGGGCAGCCATCCTACAGGAATGTATAGATAGGAGCAGAGCCAGGAGGCATGAAGTAATCCTTTTGCTCAGCTCGGCATTGGTGGATGTCAGCTGTAGCACTGTTTCTGGCTTTTGGCATTTTACTTCCAGAAGAGTGTGGGCCACCTGGAGAGGCCAAAAACAGCTGGAGTGTAGCAAACCTGGCTTACGAGGAGAGATCTGAAAGAATTAGGGTTGCCTGAGCCAAAAAGAAAACAAGGACTTGATAACAGTCTTTACATGGGTAAAAGGCTGCAGTACAGAAGAAAGGAATAATCTGCTCTTCCTGCTTGTGAGAATAAAACATGAGGTGACAGGCTGAAATTGCAGCAGGAAGTTCTAGTTAAGCACAGTATAGGATTTTCCGATCTGAATAAAAGACAGATGCTAGAACAGATTGCCTTGGGTGTGGTGGAGTCCCCATCTGTGGAGATCTCAGCCGGTTAGACATGTCGGTCAGCAAGATCATGAAGAATAAACTGAATCATTGACTAAACCTTTTGAGGTCCCTTTTTACCCATTGTCTAAAATATGGAGGAATCAACAGGTTCTTAACACAGTGGTGCAAACGCAGCCTCCCGTCCAGGACCGTGCTCAGCTTGGCAGAGCTGAGAGGATGTGCCAAAACAAGAGCAACTCGGTGTTGCTCCCAGCAGCTGCTCGTGGCTGCTGTCAAACACAGGAACTGGGCCTGTAGTTGGTCTGTTCTGGTCGTTCTTGCATAGGATACAAAAAAGGCAACGCACAACGCTTGCCGTTTGCAGTGCGGGCCTTCTGGATGAACTCCCTTTAACATCATTGCGGAGTAGGTAAGGTTGAGTAGCAGCAACTTAAAGAATGATGGCACTGTTTCAGCAATTTATTTTTGTGGTTTAATTCGAGGCAGCCATTTGTACCTTTAGTTGAGCAGCAAACCTGAATCATTTTGTTTACCATTGTATGTCATTCTGTTCAGTGCTGGGGAAAAGTGATGTCAAATATACAGGTGAAATGGGAAAGAATTGGAGAGAGAGGTGAAAATGCTCCTGCCAGATGACATTTGGTGCCTATGGCTGACAGCTGGCAGCTTGCAGAGTGCTGGTTCTCCGTCTCTGCGCTCGAGTGTGTCTGTGGCTGGACTGGTTACTCTGTGTTCATTGAGAGAGAGAGAGAGAGAAAGGGAACATTTGTGGTCACTAGTTCACGCTTGATCTGACTATGTTAAAGAGAATGAAAACGTCTTTTGCAGGAGGTGAGATTGACTGTGTTGATAAGGATGGTAACACCCCTCTGCATGTGGCTGCAAGATACGGACATGAGCTTCTGATTAACACCCTCATAACCAGCGGAGCTGATACTGCCAAGTAGGTTGCTGAAGCAGAGCTGATTCTAATTATCCAGCGTTATGTCCAGGGCTGGGAAACGCAGTTTCTCCTCAGGTTCTGAAGTGTGAAGGCTAAAATGGATACGCGTAATTATGCTCCACTTGAGTGGGTGACGTGGGACTGAAGTATGAATGCTTGGGACGACAGAAGGGAAGGAAGCCCTACCAAGCTGCTATTGTGCTCAGTTGTGGGGTTGCCGGTAGTACCGGTGCTATTTCTTTTTCCTGAAGTGCTTGATCACTATTGTTGCAGAAACTCTGTAGCAAACACTTTGCATAGGAAACATAAGTGAAAAAATTTTGAAAGTCAACCAAGGGAATTGTGTATGTATTCCTTAGTATCTAATTAGACTAATTTTCAGTGGCATACCATACTCGGTGACTATCCCTTGTGTTATTTTGATATTGCACAGGATAATCAATAGAAACACAGTAGCGCAAAGCAGATGTTGCTAAGTACTTCTGAGCTCACTCTAACTGTAGAGCCTGCCTTGACGTTGCATGGTTTCTGATCTTCAGTTGGCTGAAATAATAAGATTGCTTTACCGGATTAGTGGATTTGGGGGATGTTTCACGAACAGAGGAACGACGAGTGGAAATCATTTCCAAATGCCATTAGTGCCTTCTGCTTCAGTTCAGGTAGATTTTTTTTGTATCTCTCTCACACGTATATCAGGACTATAGCCACGATAGACAGATATTGTGGACTCAAACATTAGGAGGTACTTGGTTTTGAAGAATAGTTGAGTATTCATTACTTACGTTCTGACTGTAGTTCAGCAAGGTAATGGAGTGCTATATATTCAAAGCAGACAGCAGCAAGTTAAAAACCTGATTTGGGAAAGACGAAAATGGTCAGTCAAAATAAAAAAGTAAACCGGAAGGTAAACGTACAGGTGTAAGACCAAAATTGTGCCATGCCATGAAAGATACCTGTACCAGCGGTTTAATAGCAGCTGAATATGAGTTTTCTGCAGTTGAGTGCACATGTCTTCAAAGTACAATTTAAGGGAGTCTTCTACCTGCAACCTACCATGGAAATCAGGGACTACTGTTGACTTACCTGGTTAGGAAAACCTGCTTCCAAATATTTTGCTTTTGGCTGATTTTGGTTTGGAAGATACTTGCAGCTCTCAATGTTTTGTTTGTTTGAGGATGTTTAAGAAAGTGACGCGTTTGCCTGTATTCCTGTATCGACTGTAATGACTGTCACCGAGCAAACTCAAAAGGCAGAACAGATCTTCAGTTGGCATAGATAATGTGCCAATATCCAGTGATGTTAGCTGAGGCCTGCGGAATTTCATTAACAGAGCCAGCATGAAGATTTTGGTGTCTAAATAGATGAATATTTTTATTAGCTCTTTTTCCAGTACAGTAAGTCTCATTCTGTCTCGTTTCTTGAGGTTCACAGGGAAAATGAGCAGCAGTGGGATAACCCGCTCTTGGAATCAAGGTTATCCAGTTAGAAATTTCTGTTTCACACTTGGGTGACTGCAATATTGTTCAAAAAAAGTCCACTTCTTCCAGCAGCAGTGACAAGACAGCTCTGAGATACCAGGCAGATCCAAGTGATGCTACTGTCCTAAACAAGGAGGATTGGAATAACAGGAATGAGCTTTCGTATGTGTCCCCTAAACTGGCTTTGTAAGAGAAAACTGTATAGCTTTGTTAGCAGCAGCTGCCAACTGCTCAGTCAATCTCTGAGGCAATTGCATTTCAAGGAGAAAGTGTGTAGGCAATGGGAGGAACCAGTGTGAACAGCGCTACAGAAGTGTGACGCTAGTTAGCAGATGTGCAGATAGTACATTTTGATGGAAACCAGCCAAAACATATGTTGGATGGAAATCTTGGCTAACAGAAGAAAAATACTGCTCAAGATAACTAGGTGGAGGAGGAGAAGGCAGGAAATGGCATGGCAATATAGAATATCCAATGGTAGCTTAAATGAATCCATAGCTAAAAAAATGCAACCTGGTTAGACAGCTGCAGCAGCTTGATGGAGTTTATGCTGTTTCCTTTCAAAGAATAGACTGTCAGATCATCTTTCAGTAGATTTACTCCAAGGAAGACGCAAATGCCAACACTGGCAAAATTAAAATTCATACAGTACCACAGGTCACTCCTTAGTGTAGTGAAGCAGCAAGAATGACAAATTTAATATGAAGGCAAAGGAAGGATGGGACTGCGAATTCTAGAAAGAATGAGTTTTCTTAAAAAAAAAACAAACCAAAATTGGTCAAATATATATGCATATAATATAAAATGCATACAATATTGCAGAGAGCAATATATCCTTATAAGCATCCACACATTTTTTTTTGGCTAAAGCTCCATAAGTCATTACGATTCATGAAGAACCTTTCATAAAAACGAGTTCTTACATCTTTGGATCTATATCTGAAATTCTCTTCCACGAGGTGATTGTGCTCTTCCATCCCTAAGTTGCCTTGCAGACAAGAATCCATCTGCTGGTTGTTCAAGAGTTAGTCATTTTTTAAAAAATACATTTGCTGAAGCAAGCAGTAGATGATAATCTTGTGGAGAAAGCTGGTTTTAGAGGCTTCATGTTTACGTGCACTTGGAGGACTGCCTGTAGAATAATATTTCTAGAATAACAAGACTCTTTTTACAAAACAATGCCAAATGACAGAGGCCGAGATGGCCAAACCCAGAAGTCTTCTAAGAGTGCAAACAGTGGCATGCTTGTTGACTGAACTGGGTTGATTTACTGATTTAGTAAAAGCTGCTGAGCGCCCAGCTTGTCTGAAAACTCTGTGGTTGCCCGATACAGGTATAGCCTAATGGTAGGTGCCTTTTTTCTTTTTTTTTTTTCTCCCAATGTGTCTGCTCTGAGTAGTTTTTAGTATAACTGAAAAGAGTGTCATGTGTTAACAGGAGGGAAAAGGCATGGTGAAAGTGAGCATGTGAGGAGACTAGCTGGAGCAAATTAAAAAAAAAAAAAAAAGTTTAGTTCTTAGGATGTGGAAGAAACTGCAAGTGTTATTGCAGCCTAAAGGAAGATGAGAAAAAGAGTAACCAGTAACAAAGACTCGTCAGAGGAGCAAGAGGTCAGATATTGTGAAAACAGTGCATGAGAGCAAAGTTTTCAATTTCTGTACAAATAAATGTGTGTGTATATATGATATACAGTGTGCATATATGTTTATGCATTACATAGCTTAAGTACGTTTTACACTTAGTATAAAATCACCTGTATTTTAACTAGAACTGGATGCGGAAAGGACGGGCTAATTGTACGATGTGCAAATGTGGGTACAAGACAGAAAGCGTTTAAATTCCTTGGTGGCAGTGCATGAGAGTGAGAGACCCCGGAGCCCCAGTGGAGAGGGAAGAAGTGGAGGTTGTGAAAACCCAAGTGAGAGTTATCTAATCTATGTTAACTGCAATAAAAGTAGATTGCAGAAATAACACTGGGAAGGCTTCAGCATTTACTTTTGCCTCAGCATGGCAGTTGCAGCATGTGGAGCTGCTGCAGGAATTTGGGCACTCCAGGCTGGGAACTGGCTCCAAGCGACATGCGCGCTCTTACCGCCTCCCTTACCGTAGGTTTCGTCTGAGTTCTTAGAAATCTTCCTGCCACGTTCTGTTCATAGTGCCATGCCAAGATTTTGCTGTATCTGAGTATTTTTAACTCCTGAGCTGGTTGGTTAGGAAACGCAGATAAAATTAACACGGCAAGAAGAAGCTGCCGTTATAGCAGGAGCTTTTTGTGCGCTGTGTTTGTACGTAACCTGGATTTTTAACGTGACTCTGTGTAATGAGACCGTTGTGCCTTTCAGGTGTGGGATCCACAACATGTTCCCTTTACACTTAGCAGCGCTAAACGCTCACTCAGACTGCTGCAGGAAATTGTTGTCATCGGGTAAGTAAATCCAGCAGCATCCGTGCAGCTCGAGTAACCTGTGTCTGTGCTGCTTACGCCCCTTTTATATTCGTTGTTGTGAATCGTTCAAATGAAAGACTTCCTGTGCTGCTGTGTTGGGCTGCGTGGTGCCGTGTCCGGAGCGTGCGAGCCTTTCCTAGCGGCACGCGGGTAGTTCCTCGCGTCCTGGAGCGATCGTGCCTGCGGCCCTTCTCTCCTGGCACTCTCAGAGGGTTTGCATTAGTTCACCAGGAAGAGGAGGAAATCGAGAACCCTTGTCCATATTGTAGGAGTGTCGGGCACTGTTTTGTTCCGTTTTCCCTAAGGTAATAATTCAGGAAATTATCTCCTTGAGGCCTGCGCTGGAGCAGGTATTTACGTCTCGCTGAAGACAATAGGTTTTAGATCCGTGCTGAAGTGTGTTTCTGAATCAGAGCCAGAGTAAAGAAAATAGGTTGGTCAAAGCTCTGTGGGCACGCAAAATGAAATTGGTTAAAGTGTCGTATCCTAAGAGGAGTCTCTGCGTCCAAAGCAGAAGAAGCAGGAGTTTGCTGACGCGAATGTTTTAAGAGGCAGCGGTCAGGTGCCAAATCCTGAATTCTTTTTTTCCAGGCAAGATTTCCCGTGAGTGACAAAACAAGGCAGATCGTGTCTTTTCTAGAAAACTGTTTCGTTACTTAGCATTTAAAATCTCCTACAACTACTTTTCTTCCACCACCTTGAGTCTTGTAGGGTATTAAAAAGTGTGGAAAATGTTAATTACATACCCCACTGCAGTGAACGTTGGTGTGCTCTGGCCTTGCCCACTAGATCGGGGAGGAAGAGAAAGAGCTGTGGGTGAGGAGAAGGGATGCCGTCAGGCTTGGCTCTTTGGCCTTGCGCGTCTTGACGAATATCCTTGCACGTTCCTGGAAGCCTCGTTGCAAAATCTGAAAACAACCTGAAACCCACACGCGATAAAAACGGCCCCGTTTCATGTTTAGGCTAGCTCTGTGGATTTTCTCCTTTCTTCACGTTTTCTGTCCTCGTGTCCCGCTGTCACAGTTCTCTCGGTAAGGGTCTTTCTCACAGACGCCTGCCGCGTGATTGCGGCAGGGATGCGGCGCAGAGCTCGATGTGGCAGCAGCTTCTTGGCGCCTTCGCAGCTCGCTCTCTAGAGCTGCCAAGCTGGAGCAGCCGCTTGCCGTTTCCATGACAACCTCTTTCTGACTGTAGTTGCTTGCGTTCTGTTTTTCCTAACTAACTGATTTTTCTGTCTCTGCAATGTTTCTTGTGGTTTAACTAGGACAAAAGTATAGCATAGTGTCCTTGTTTAGTAATGAGCACGTGCTGTCTGCAGGCTTTGAAATAGACACCCCCGACAGCTTTGGAAGAACGTGCCTCCACGCTGCCGCTGCAGGAGGGTGAGTACTCCTAACCGTAGCTGTTTGGCGTTATTCCGTGATTTCATTGCAGATCTGCTGCAAGTCAGCTGGGCTGTGCTGTCCACGAAGGAATTTATTGTGGCGAAAGGGAAGCAGAACAATTTGCCATAAATCCTGGTCGCTTGAGGCGGTCTTTTGCCGTGGCCCTCACGTAGGGGTTGCGTACAGGGTAAAGGGGATGGGCTGACCCTTTCTACTGCAGAGGGCTGGGCTGTGGTTTGAAACATGGCTTTGCAGGTCAAACTCTTCCTTTCCATGCCCCTGTAAAGACTGCTGGCCCTTTGGGTGGGGATGCTGCATACTCGCACAGGGCTTTTTAGTGGCTCGTCTCGCAGCTGAGGGCTAGCGGTCAGCTGGAAACGGTCAGGTCCTAGGAGCAAAGCGGAGGGAGGAGAAGGAGCTGTGGCTCCTGGGTGCTGCTGGCCCCATGCAGTTATTCCCTGCCCCCTCCTGTGGGCTGTATTCTTGCCTCAAAGTTGCAACTATGCAACCGTCCACATGCCCTCCTGGAGTGTAAGTGCAGCTCACCTCCCTCTTCTTTCCCATTTCTCAGATGCAAGTTTAAAAACTTCTAAAAGAAGTTCACCAAATTAGAAAGGTGGTTGTCCTCTTAGGACAACGCAGTACTGATGAGTGATGGGAGCCCAGAAGTGGAAACAGATGAAAACCGAAATAAATCAGTTTAATTCATAAACTGTAGCAGTCAGGTAGCTTAAGTAGTTCCCAGTAGTTGTCAGGGGGGTTCTGCAAAGTTAACCTTCGCAGAAGGAGAAAACGTTTGGCAAGGACTGAGTTTCAGCTCTTCTGTTGAGGACTTGATGCTCAGAAGACAGATAAAGATGGAGCCTTGTCTGGAATCCAACTTAGCTTCTCCACGGTTATAGCAAGCAGAAGTGGTCATCCAAAGTGGCTATTTGGCAGTCTTTTAGAAGTTGTTTTCACTCCTTGGGGGACCAAAGTGAAGATCACAAAATGTTCACTATTACAAGCATCTAATGAAATTGTTCCAAGTGCTGTTTTTATTATTTTTGTGGTACTCTTCTTATTGATACTTCTCTCATGCTATTAATAGAGAAGGTATGACTATTGTTTGCGTTGACATCATTGTAGTGTACTCTCCAAATACTACCTCTTCCATAAGGCCAGGCTCCAAAGGATTAATTAAAAAAAAAATGGAAGCCCAAAAGAGGGAGGAGAGGCTTCATAAGAAGCAGAAGTGGCTCATGAAAATAAGCTGTATTTTTTCAGTGGTTTACTGCAGTTGTCATCACTAACAAGTCTTTTTATTTTTAGTACACTGTGGTGAGTGTTTTGTAGATATTTTATGCAATAGCAATTTAGAGCAAGAGTGAACATACGCCAACATATTGCATCCAGTCGTCTTTTTTTTCCTGGAGCTGGAGCTACAGAAAAGCCTTTTTTTCTTTCCCCCCTCTCCCCCTTTTTTTTTTTTAATGACACATGCCTGTAACTCCCATTACATTAATGGGAGTTTTATGGGTATGAGGAAAAGAACATACTTTAAGGGCCTGCTCTTGTGATTCAGAACAGAAATGATTCATTGCCCTTGCGAATGACAAAGGAGTCTTGAAAAGTGCTATGTATCATTTTCTGCTTTACTCTTATACGTTTATTTTGCTTGAATTGCAAAGATGTGAGAATTCAGCTGTTTTCTTTTCCGTTAAGAATCACCTAAGTTTAAACAAGATGAGGAAGTTACAATGTGGTGAATTCTTTCAACGGATATAAAGCAACGGAGCCCAACTCACCCACTGATATAAAGGCAATATTGATATAACAGCAGTTTTAAATATCTATGCCCCTTATTCAGCAAAGCAAAGCACCAAATACATGCTTGAATCTATCAATATTCAACAATTCACGTGAGCCTAAATGTAAAAGTAACTGTTGTGATTGAATCTCACTGAAATAAACAAGATTTGAGCAAAGTGCTTCCTGTTAAATGCCTTGCTGAATGGGGGTGGACTCAGTTAAATGTCACCTCTTCATTATTAGACTGGCATTTTATAAGCTAGCAACAATTTTCTTTTAAAGTTCTCTTATAAAATAGCAGTTCAGTGAGGGAAGCATTAGAGTACAGCACCCTTTGGAAATCCCTAAGCCCCTGAATTCAGATCATGTTTACTGCTCTCTGTTGAAGTAATTGCTTAATTTTTACTTCAGCGGAAGAGAATTCTGATTTTTCCTAGAAATAAAGGAGTATGTTCATAAAGCTTCATTTTCAGTTTGCTGCAGTTGTAGTTTGCTGTACCCTATATCTGCACGGCAAATAGTGGAACAAGTTTTTTCTTTGCAAGTGGGGAAGGACAGCCAAGATTTAAGCTTCTGTTTTGTTCATGCTTTTTCTTTACTTCTCTTTTCAGTAACGTTGAATGTATAAAACTCTTGCAGAGCAGTGGAGCAGATTTTAATAAGAAGGACAAATGTGGGAGGTACGTAAATTATGAAGCTCATTTGAGGAAAAAAAAAAAAAAAAAATAGCAGGCAAGCAAGAAAGACAACCCCAGTCTGGGAGTCATATATTCCATGAAAATCGCTAAACAGTGAAATAGATGGGCCTTCCCTACAGAACTCTGCTGCGGCAGTTAAGTGCCAAACAGACAGGTGCAGACTTCATTAAATACGTAAAAACCAAGCTCACCCTCTTGAGTTTTCTGTTTTAAAAATATCACTGGCTTATTTTTTTCCTTATTGCTTTCTTTTACTGCCTAGATTCTTGTGCTTATGCACCCAAGACAGCGCCTGGGTAATGATGGAAAGGACTGTTGCTATTTGATGTACTTCCTAGGGTTTTTTTTTCCCCATATGAAGTGTTGCCATGAGTGTTGCTATGCCTGGAAAGGATGCAGAGATTTCGCTCCCTGATTGCTCCAGACAATCTGTTCAGCATTTTGCCATGTGTTTTTAAACAAAGCCAAAGTTTCCTGAAGAAGGAACCTAGTCGTTCTCCAAAACCTGGGGGTGAACTTAGAAGGTGGGAAGAACTGTAGCCTACAATAGCATCACCTTGACTTAGCGCACTGTGTCTCAGGCGGTAGCAGATTGTAGCATCATGCAATTATCCATCACCACCGTTATGGCCGTACCACCCCAGAATGGGTGCAGGTGCAGTGTGCTTAACCTCCCATACTGCTAGCCAGGCTGTGGCTTCAAAGGCTATTCACGGCGTGCAAGCCTGGGGGGCGTACAAGAGTTTTGCCAGCGCTTGGGCAGGATGGTAAGAGATGCTGGCTTGTCTTGCCATCTTGAAATTCAGGTGAATAAGTTACTCTTCTGCCTACCCTCCCAAGTACTGAAAAAAGATACCCGTCTTTAAGCGTTAAGTTGTCTAGGGTCTATCTGAAAATATTTCCCAATTGCAGCTGTTTGAGAGAACCCAGCCTAAAACTCCCATACGAGCAAACAGTTTCCCTTGCCCGTGTTACGTATGAGAATGAAAAAATGAGCATTACAGTGAGCTTGCACAAATCCAAGTAGTAAGCAGTGTTTTTTAAAGCTGTGGGATTGCCCTGTCTAGCAGTCAGGCCTTTCCATTTTGTCTGGGATCGCTCTTTTATCTTCCACCCTCGCTCGTACCAGTGAGGTACGAGAGCACTGCAAGGTGTTCCGGTTTCTTCCTCTGAGCTCCTGCAAACCTCGGTGGGTGTGTGTACTTCTGCAGGTTGCTGTAGATGGGTGAGGAAGGTGTATTCCAGTTAAACCGCTGATGACAGTAGCTGCGTTGGAACGGCATACGCTGCGGAGGTCCTCCTTAAGTGCTCTTGGTGCTACTTATTTCAGAGAGAACGTGGTTGGTGTCCTGAGAGGTTAAATGTGCTGGTGAATTCTTTTTTTCAGATGATTTTTGCTTTTGTGATTATACTAATACAAATGAATTACAGCTGAAAGGTTCTGGCCTGGCTTGGGCGTTTTGTTTCCTTCCTTGGTGGAGGGGACAGCAGTGGGTTATTACTCATATCCTCTAATATATACAGTGGAAGTGTGTCAAATACTTCAATAAAAATGAAGGCGCTCTTCTGTCCCATTTAAATGAATCGGGTTCACAAGTGAACTATCCTTTGGCTGATTTTTATCTTGCAACTTTCCTCCAATTAAAGGTATATTATGTTAGGGGACAAATTAATTTGGATTGGTTGAGGACTTTGGCATAGCAGAGGGAGCCTCTGCAAATGTCAGACCCTTTGGAAGTTGTGCTGACAACGTGAGCTCTGCCTGCACGGCATTCAGGCTTTGAGCGGCACGTGCCAAGTGTGCGGCGTGCTGAACTTGCCTGCACAATGGATCTTTTCTTGGATTGTGGAATTCACCAGAGTGACAGGCTCACCCCACGTCTCTGTCACCGTCCACCTCCTGTATTGCTGAGGCTGTCTAAGCCGCAACGGCTTTGGAGTTAAATCCTGACTCGGGTTTCACTGTCTGATGGGGGCTGCCTCCGTGGGCTAACGCTGGGCAGCTGAAGCTCTTCAAACCAAGCAACTGCCGTTGAGCCTTAGGCAGAGGCAGGTTTAGCTGTTAAGACACGCTTCCTCAGTTATGCTGAATAGCACTGCATAGCAGGTGGATTATCAGACTGCAGCTAGCTCAAATTTAATTCTGTGCTATGGGCAAAGAAGCTTTTAAAGCCTCAATTATGTGTGCGTAATAAAAAATAAAAGCGTAATAGTACTATGAAAATTCTGCCTAGACAGAGGAGTTGATATGTGTGAGTGTGTGTAAAAAAGCAACTGTAAGGGAGGGGATAATAAAGCCTAGCTCAGCTGCTCTGTTCAGCTCAGCTGCTTGTGGAAAAATGTGTGGCAGTCAGCTCTAGGTCTCATGCATAACGTGTACGTTTGAACAACCTTGGGTTAGAAGGAGCTTAATTTGCTTCCATTTGGGAATATTTCTGAGGCAAGAGAAAGGCTTCGTGTGTCTCCAGGACATAGGTTTTGTTGCTTTCTTTTTTTGAGAGTGGTAGGAGAGGGATTTCCTCTGGAGTTATCTTTGAATTTCTTTTAAGGTTTGTTCAACCTTGGAACTTCAGCAGCCTGAGGAGTAGGTGTAGCCAGCGCAATGGTTGTGTGAGGAGTGTGAAATGTCTGCAAAGTGAAGTTGTTAGAAATACAGCTTTCCTATGCTCCTCATGGGCAGCCATTCCAGCTGAATAATGTGCTGTGAGGGACACCGTGCTTTGCTCTGCTTCCTAACTGGAAGAAAGTCACGCGTGCACAGAGCAACAGCAGAGGCTTTCGTTGGGAATAAGTTGTTTGCAAGCCATGGGTTGAGAATCCCTATGCTATTATGCTTGGTAGGAGCAGTTTTCCTCTTGTAGGAGCCCCAAAACCTCATATTAACACAATTTTTCGTTAAATTTGCATACCTTTGAATTTCAGTGTAAGAACATAAAGACCTGGTGTGGTCACTTGGAAATCTGTACGAGTGCTACAGTTAAGGTTTATTGTTATTATCCATGCTGCGTATTAAAATCTGAGATAACAAATTGCCGCTTACGTTTCAGGACACCTCTGCACTACGCAGCTGCAAATTGTCATTTCCACTGTATTGAGACACTGGTGACAACAGGAGCCAACATTAATGAAACAGATGACTGGGGACGCACCCCTTTGCACTATGCTGCTGCTTCTGACATGGACCGAAAGTAAGAAAGCCTATTTGTAGTCCTTGTTTACAGCGTTTTGCTAGATCAGTGTCATGCTACTTATCTTCCTGCTGCAGTATCATTTGAACCAAAAAACAATCCCACTAGTGAGGGGATTCCCCTCAGATGTACGCGTAGCCCCATTACTGAATTGCTCTGACTGTAAACCAGGTCCCCGGACGGGGTGGTATTTCAGCCATACAGCTTACCTTTGAGGTGACGCACAGTTTTGCAGAGTGTTGCCACCTTGTCCTACTGAACTGATTTCCCAACGGTTTTGTCGTCTGTTTTCCTCTGTGTGGTTTCCTCACAAGAGGAAGATGAGAGAGTTTTCTGCATGTGCTCCACCGTCCCTTTGGAAGGGAGGGAGCGAGAGACAACAGAAGAGAGGTTTTTCCAGATGGACTGTAGTGACAGACAGACATCTGGCCATTCTGACAGATGTGCTGGCAGAAATGGGATAGATCTGTCCATCGACCTCTCTACTGTCAGAGCTCATAAAAAAAAAACATTCGCCATCTCCAAAGTAGGTTGCTTTTTAGAGGTTTTAGAGACAGAGCGGACTGGGGAATAGCCTTTGGCAGAATGCAGCGCTGCTCTTGCGGGAAAGGGCTGGAAGGGGGGAACAGCTGCAGAGCTTGCAAGTCCTGTGGCTGGTTACTGCAATGTCTAATTCCCAGTCTGTTGCGTATTTTGGCACTTACTTCCTTATACTGTATCAAACAGATTCAGTTATTCTGTTAGTTCTCTCTTGAAACTGTTAGCCACTTGTATTTATTTTAGATCTTCCCAAGCTTCTCGTACTTCCCTGCCTCTTCCCTTCAGACTCCAAGGGATTATTTTCTTTGGTTTCTTGTATAGTGAGGTCTGGTAAAATATGTTTGGCTTATGGTTCGTTCCCAGTATAATACTACCTCAAAGCCTCTCCAGGAAGTCTTCTGCATAACCTCGTGGTAGAAGTTTGGATATCATAGCCAAACATCGTTAGCTTCTTAATCATTTGCTGCAATAATACCAATATCAGAAGCTTTTTCCCTGTCACCCTCAAACCTGAACAGTGCTGAGTAGAAAGCAGCAGGATTTTCAAAGGACTGTGCTTGCTGCTATTAGAGAACGACTTTCATGGACAGTGTGAAGTAGGCTGGTGTGAAGGTTTTTGCCACTGGGTGTTGCTAATTCTGTCCTGCCACAGAGAGTTGTTACTCTCGGTGCTGAGAACTGCAATTCAGCGTTGTTTTTTAGCCTTTGGCTCTCCGTAGATGGGGTTCCTGCATGTAAAAAAGCCTGATTTTGTAGGTCAGCTTTTTTTTTTTTTTTTTTTTTTTTGTGCTGAATGGGGGAAAAACTCCCAAGGTACTCAGGCAGTTTCAGTCCAAAGAGTATTCAAAATGTCTTATTTTGGATGTGCGCAATGTAAGTGCAGGGAGAAGTCTTGATGTAACAAGAATTGAGAGGCTGTTGTTGACTGTCGCTGTTGTTGCTTATGGTCTTCAGAATGAATGTACCCCTTTCTGCAGTGGAGAGCAGAGAGGCAGTTTCATTAAGTAGATGATTGGAGTTTCTGAGTATCTATTGTTTCTGCAGATCACCACTTATTCTGTTCAGACACACTTATTTTGGGATTTCACTGATTCATAGTTAATTGAAAGCAGTATAGGTATGACTTTCAGCTGTTACAGGAGATGTTTAAAATCCTGGTCAACCCCCAGGTATCTCCTGTTATTGTTAGAGCTTTGAACAGCTGTGCTGATAGAGCATAGCACACGAGCACCTTCTGTGAGCTCACAAAATTAATATTCAGGGGGGTTTAGATTTTAATAAATGAGTTTTCTTTATGAGGCAGCAGACATTAGACAGACCCTGGGTTTGCAGAACAATCTATACTGCTGCTTACCCACGTGAAGAATGTCAAATGTTGATAGGAGAAATGGGAAAGTGAACATTAAAGAAGGCATGTACTGTTCTGCATTGTGCAGGATCCAGTCTGGAATATGTATGTTGTATAGGGATTCATATTAGCGAACTGTACTTCTACAAACCTTTTAAGTCACAAATGTGTGGTGATTCACAGTAGTCTGCAAGTATGTGTTCTGTGGTAGCCTTGGTGGCCAAGTAATGTCTGTGTAAAGATCATAATCCTCTGTCTGCTGTCCATCTGGCTGGGATGCACGGCTGCTAAAAATGATCTGGGCGTGCGGGAATACTAAGATATACTCAGCTCTTTGAAGAACGTTAAGAATCCAACTGGGATATCCTTGCAGTGTTGCCAAGTATTTCACAGAAAGTGAGAAGAGCCAGCAACACAGCTAATGCAGGTTCAAGATAGACTAGGTTAGTACCTGTGGCTGAAGTCTCCCAGAACTCCAAATCTCAAATATTAGAGAAGAGCAGCAGGTTCCTGAAGGAAGAAGCAAGCTGTGGTAACCTTGGTTGCTCTCTGCAAAGGAAGCAAAAGACGAGATGTGGGAGAAACAGAAAGATTAAAGACAGTGATGATCAAACTGTTTTTGGTAGAAATCAGAACTTTACAGTGGTGGGTGTTTTTTTATTTTTGTTTTGTTTTGTTTTTTTTGATTTGCCAGATGATAAACTGCCATGTTGTAGGTGTCTCCCTTGTTTGGAAAACTTACTAGCTGCAGGCCCATGTAGTGCACATATTTACCTTTGTAATTTTTGCTGTTGCCTGGAGGAGGTCTACTGGAGGCAAGATTGGGGATGGGTGGCAGACTGCGTCAAAATCACTGATGTGACATTTTGAAAATAAGTTGCATTTTTCTGTCCTGTATGTTAAGAAGAAAGAATATTTTGGGTAGCTCCCATGAAAATGCTGAAGAACTTGAAAGAGCGAGTGAGATGAAGGAAAAAGAAGCTGCACTGTAAGTTTGGTGTCAATACAGCAGTTAGACTGCATTTTTGGAGAATGTCCCTGCTTTGGGCTGCAGTTTACGCTCCCTGTTTTGCTTGTTCATTGCTCTGCTAAAGACAACGCTTAACATTAACGAGGGCTAACCTAAAGGAAAAAGCTTTCTGCTCTTCTCTGTGACCATGTTCCTTAGTCTTTCTGTTTCTGTGCTTGTTGCTCTTTCTTAACTGAAAATGTGTTGCTTTATTAATTTAATAATTCTTTTAGCATCATGCACTGATTTTGGTGTTTTGCGCTGGATTTGTTTGTTGCAAAGAGAAGTTGACCAATGGTTTCCACAATGTCTTTGCTCAGATTGACATTTTCCTCTAGCTGCTTATTATTTCTTTGCTGTAAAATTTCCTTTTTTAAAATATGACTTAATATTTACATTCACTATGAATTTTTAGTGAGGGTAGTAACAAAGTTATGATTGCTTGAAGGTGTAAAAACAAACAAACAAAAAAGTTGCAGGAGCTATTAAGAGCAGAAAGAATCCTTTGAAAAATATGTAGTTTCAAAGAAATTTCCAACAGAGAAGTAAATATATTTTGCATACATGCTAGGAAATTGACTAAGATAAGTCCTTATTTTTCAGCTTACCACAGTACCTGCTTGGGGATCAGTGGTTTGATCAATGAGTTTTTAGATATAACAGGAACAATTCCAAGTAGGGTGCTTATATAGGGTGCTTTTCTTTCTGGCTTTGTAATAGAAAGTCATTTTACAATCTAGAGTGACAGCAAAGGCTGATCTGAAGACTGTTTTTATAAAGAAGATCTTCAAAGATGAGCAGTGATTTTCTGTATAAAAATTTGGCGAGTGTATAGAGGAACGACGAGTGAAAAGCTAGCAAACCCATACATGATTTAAGGTACTGTTAGAATGCAGAATTAACTGTCCATCTCCAGTGTCACTCATAGTAGCAGTGGGGAATGAGTCTGGTAAATATTATGAGCTGTCCTTTAAACTCTCAAATTGTTCCCAGGTGTCTAGAGTTCCTGCTTCAAAACGATGCTAATCCATCCATCCAAGACAAAGAGGGGTACAACACGGTGCACTACGCTGCTGCATACGGGCACCGACAGTGCTTGGAACTGGTGAGTGTGCTCAAGATGTATACACTGGTACGGTGAACTCCCTTGAATAGTTATTGTCCAGGTTCTTTGGATAGCCACAAAACTGTAGGTACCTGCCGTATGATGTAAAGTGTGTAAAGTCAAACATGTGCAAACAGGCGTAGCTTAACTACACGATCATCTCGATAATCCAGTCTTTGTTTAACAAGCTTCTGCTTAAATGTGGTGTTTGAATGGAGCTTCGTATGCTTAAAATGGCTCAAATTATTTTTTTAACTGTGATCAAAATATTCCCTGTGGACGTGCCAGTCATAGGGGATAGCTTCCAGCGCATGGGCCTTTTGTAGATGGCATGTTAGCTAGCTTGCACGCTGAGAGAGTAAATAGCTTTCGAATGATGTGTGTTGTCAGCTGCATACCTGCAGTGCCTTTTTGCCTCCGGTGCAGCAGTAGCAGCATCGATATTTTTACCACTATCAACGTTAACCTTGCATGCAACATAATTTTCACTTTTTTTTAATCCTGCATCTGAGTAATTAGAAATTGCATCTGACAGAAAGCAAACATTTCTTGCCAAAAGTCAGATTTGCAGGATGGGTAGAATGGATTCAAAGAAGTTTGTGAGTTAATGAAGTGTCGTGAAGATGGAGGTTAACTGAACTGCTTGATACACACTCAGAGTGTGATACCACATTATTGTGTCACATGTAAGTAGGCACTAATTGCTTAAAAAAAATTATAATTAGAAAATTGTACAGCTATTCAGACTTTAGTAAGAGCAGAACTGTGTGCTGCCTTAGAGTTTTATGTTTGGTTCCTTCTTTGTTTAATGGTTCAGATTACTTAATTATTAAAAAAGGATTTCTGCATAACACACACTGCTTTCATACCACGCTTATCAGCGATGGCAGTTACTGCCACCAAAGGAGAAATACTGCTGTTGGCCTACACGAAGGTCACGCGAGCTGGGAGATGTTGACCTGTAAACAGACCAGGGCAGCCCTGGGTCAGAATTTCAGGTGAGGCGTTAAGCCTTTTTAGCTCCCACCTGCAAGCACATATATTTAGGATGCTTAAAATATCACTGCTCCTTTGTTGCTTGTGGCAGCTGCTTGGCCTTTCTGTGTTCAGAGCCTTCTCCTGGAGTTGTTCTCACGCAATCCTGCCCGCGGGGATGGAGGGACCCGCTGTTGAGCCTGGCGTGGGTTTGGAGCAAAAGCAACTGTTCCTGGCATTTGAAGGGCATGCTTATATAGAGCAGCCTCCTTTGCGCTGCCTACAAGCCTCTGCGTGTATGGCCGCAGCAGTGCGTATCACTGTCATACCCGCCTCTTATCCCCAGGTTCTTGCAGGACCTGCACGCGAGGAGCTCTCCAAAGGAATGTCGTCTTTGGGAATTTTCTTTCAGCCGTCGTATCGTAGTCCCCATGTGCCACTGGGTACAGAGAGGGTGCAGAACAAGGTCCCCTCTCTTCCTTGTTGCTGGGCACGTTTTCTGACAATACATCAATTACGGACAGTAATCTGCAATTGAGGCTTGGTGTTACTTAGGCACGCTAGAAAAAAGGAAGAACTGTGAATGCAGTGTGTGTCAGAGGCGCACAGTTTTTCTTTATTTCAGAAGGCTGAAATGCAAACTGTGGGCCAGAGACAGCCATGCAGCAAGTGTTCTGTGTCTGGACAGAGAAATTCAATGTTTTCACATGCTAATCCTTCCACGTTTGTGACTATTGCTGCATTATAGAAACCAAAGGCTTGTATCATTTGCAGAGTTACAATCATGCATCTCTTCTGTGTACAGCTGTGAAGGAAAACTGCCATGAATTTTAGCCGCTTGCATGCAAAGGACTGCTATCATGTATTAAGGTGTCTCCCTGAAAGTTTTATGGGGACTAGGATTTTGCTATTGGTGTTAAGAGGCTGACAGGCGTTTCACTTTATCTCTGGAATACAAAAATTACATATAACAGAAACCATTTGTGCTTGATCGACAGTAGCACCGGAACCCGTCGTCTTTACAGCCCCCATCAGAAGCAGCTGATTTCACATTGTCCACGTGAGAGTTCCCCCTGAGTTACTGAGTCTTGACTTTAATAACTAGTTATATTTAATAACAGTGACTGATTAATTGATCCACCTTAACGCTGGGATTTTTTGCATTACTTGTATTCAGGATGGCAAAAGAGCTGGGACCAAAGTCTTGAGCAGCTAAAAGGTAATTGTGCAGTGGGTATGAAATGGAAATAATCTTTGTGCCTGCATTTATTCACTTATTCCAAGATGAGACTCTCTGGTGCTGAGAGTATTTCACAACAATTGTCGATGCTGATGCCTCATCTGATAAAGCAGCGTCATCTGTAGACGTTGCTATCTCGTAACGTCATCCGACATTTTTTGATGGAGTTGTGGTTATTCACGTACCTGGTGGTTTGGCTGCAGTTTGTTGTGCTCTCTGTGGCAGACCTGAGGTGAGGATTTCGTCGTGAACCATGATCTTTACTTCTGGTAGCTATTAGCCGCAGTATGTTGACTGCTCTAGTTATTCATAGTTAAATGAAGCAGCCGCTACGTTTTTCTTGCTTCCAGGCGTGACTTTTATCTATAAGCCCCTTCTTTTCCACGTGAGCAGAGAGAACAGTAAGTCATCAAATGCCATCTTATTCCGCAAGCCTTCTGTTTGTTTTTGCAGCTAAACTAACGGAGATGAGGAAAACTGACAACACCCCTTTGCGTCTTTTCTCTCTCCGGAGTAGCGCTGGGCTCTCCTCATCGACGCGCGGGCGCTGCCGAGTCCAGGCGGGGGTCCGGGCGGGCTCTGAGCGTTGCCGCCCAGCGGAGGGGCTCCACGGCCGCTGCCTGCCTCCAGGGAGCCCAGGGCTGGGTGTACTGCTGCGTCTTGGAAATGCTTTCCGTTTTTGTTTTTCTTCTCTTCAGTGCTAATTAAACAGAAGATAAGATTCGCGATATTTCTAGCTGCTCTTACTGAAGCATTTACCTCTGCACCCATTTTACAGTAGCAGTAGGAGCCCAACAGCCTTAATGTCAATGTAAATATGTCTGTACATAGGAAAGGAAGTTTTTTGTTTGAGCTTCGCAATAACGCTTTTTTTTTTTCCTGGCACTTAAATCAGTCTGATGAAGTGAATTATAAAAAGACAAATGAATTTAGGAGTCTTAAATAAAAATACTAACTTTGAACCACTAATAAGATATATCCCAGGAACTCTGACACACAGAACGCTTTTTCTGAAGTATTTCCAGTCTCTCCCATCGTGAAGAAGAGATTTTCAGGCAGGATGATGGAAATAAAAAACATTAATGTTCAGTGCCAAGTTAACTGTTACTTTACTGTTTTATCTTTTTAGTAAATATTTGCATTTTACTACTAACTGGTCATAAATGAGAGTGTCTAGGAATTATTCTCCCTAGAACAAGATGGTTTATTATAGGCATAAAAATGTTGGAGGAAAAAGTTCATATAAAATATAAAGCTCTGATTCTGGTTGAAACTAAAGCAAAGTGGGTGTAAAATTGAGGCTGATTTTACAAGTCAGATAATTAATATTTCCCTCATGCATATTGCCAAACAGTAGGAAAAAGCTGGGAAGAAGATACCGTGTGGGATTTGATTCCTTCCGTTGTTTCAGTGTCTGCCAAATGAACTTTTCACATATGAAAAATTTCAGTTGGACTCTTTGTGTGTGTAAAGTTAAGCAGGGACCAATGTTAGTAGTAAATGCTTGTAGGACAGAGGCCTTAATCAAGAAAGGAACCTTTTTCCAGTGTTCCGGAATACATGGAAACTTATCAAGGATCTTGTAAGATGAGTTATTTTCGAGTCCCTTATGACTCGTATTTAAAATACCCTACTTTAAATAAATGATTACCTTAAAAAGGCATAAAGAATAATAAAGAATGCAATATCAAATGGAGTTCCTGCAGCTGAGGGATCTGGTCTGTGCTCTAAGCACGATAGCCTCTCAGCTTTACAAAATATTTATGGATTTGAGTACAGTTTGGGAAAGGCTGGTTCATCTATGAACTAATATTTTGACTTTTTGGCTTTTATGTTCAATACAAGTCCAATACCTTTGGAAGGGCGTAACTAAATCTCTAAGTGGAAAGAGGAGCGATATTAGGAGAAATAAAAGATTGAGTGGAAAGGTCAGTATCCTCTGACACAAACAAACAAAGTCTGTGTTTGTGTGTTCAACCACAGTTTTCTCCTTGAGGACCCTTAGGTTGTCTGGGATAGCAGTGGGGTAGTTGTCCTGCAAGAATGATGTGATGTTGCTAAAAAGAGGAGAGTGAAAGCAGATTCTTGAATTCTTTCTCCGTCTGTAATGAGTCATTCGTGAAGGGCTGAATGGTGGCGCGTGCGCTTACAAGCAAGTGAAACTCAATCTCTTCCATCTGCTTTTGTACTTCTAAAAATACCCTCATGTTTGTTTAGATTGGGACCGACTTCTTTAGTGGTCGGTAGTCAAGGTTATCGGGCAAGATCATTAGCTGATGTTTTAGAGTTGGTAGCATCACTGAACTATAGCAGTTCAAAAAAAATCTGTGTGTTTCATTCAAATGATGTCTTATTTTGAAATATTAATTGATTTGGAAAGAGTGAAATTAAAATTCTAGTGTCACATTAAAATGCTATCTGGAAGGCCATTTAAGTGCTTTGGGCTGCTTTAAAATAAAAAATATCTTTTCTGTGCAGTGTCCGGGCAAGTAAATTAAATGTCTGTCTTCTGGAGTGAAATCTTTTGCCTGACTATAAGAATTGATGTTTCGTCTGTCTTTTAATGTGCTCTTCTCTTTATTTTATCAGCAAATTAAATTTACCTTTTGGCTAATGGGAATTGAATTGGCATAGGGGTTAATTCGTTTGAGGAAGGGAGGAGAACATGGTTGAACTGAAAATCACATCCATCAGAGAAGGCCAGTCTCAGCCTGTCCCTCTGCCTTGACCGAGGTAGTCTGCATAGCTGTGGGTGTGGAGAGCTGGGAAAGAGGGACGTTTCCTG